TTATCCTGATATATTATTTTAAGTTCTTGATATTCCCTCTGATATAAACCATTTTTATATACTTTGTTCAGCTCAGATAACTCGGTTAACCTTCTACTGATTTCTCTCAACTCAGTAGTTATCCACCTGGAGTCACCAGATTTTTTTATCTTGACTACCTTTTTTGGAAATGAAGTATCAAAATAATAGGAAAATTTATTATAAAAACTATCAAACTTAGAATTTGCTTCAACTGAGTCATACACTGAAGACCAATCAGTCTCCAGCAGTAAACTAGAAAACTTCTCAATATTGTAGTCATTAAAACATCTCTTGTGAGTTTCTTGGTTATGGTCAACCTGATCATAGCAGAAAGTTGCCAGCTGGAAAGTGTGATCAGATATATAGGAATGATTAATGGAGTAACTAATAGGATTAGAAGTAGACAAAATATTATCAATACAAGTTGCTGAATCACCCCATATACGAGTAGGTTCACTTATAATAGCACTAATGTTATGTTGCTCATTTACTTTATTTACATTTATCTTCTGAATTTACAATAGTAAATTCAGAAGATTAAATTCTCTAAGAACCTGCTAACCTCTTCTGATTTCTCGTTTCCTAGTTGATCGCTTATATAAGGTGTGAGTAGAGTATTCAGAATCTCTCTGGTGAGATTGTTGGGAGGAGGTTTGCCATCTCCCACAATATAACCTCCTAGCGCAGAACACGCTTTCACAGATTCCTTAGCCAACCTATTGCTGATTTCTTGTTTGTTTGCATCTTCACTACGCTCTACACCACCTTCTTCTAAGGTGAAATCATAGTTGAACATGTAGAGGAGAAGAGACCACAAAGCGCCTGATTTCAAAAGTTCTAGTTGCAGGATCGAGTCTAGGGAAAGAGCGGTGACACATTCCGTTGCAATTGAACACAATTTGGTAAGATGCTAAAAATAAAAAATATTTTTCCTTTAGTTACAGTATAGACTTACCCTCAGACTTTAAAATCATTTATCGTGTGACATAATAATAATAATATTTATTCGTTCATAACGATCATAACATGATGACATAGAACAAGTCAATAATAAAATTTTAACACTGACTAAGATGGAATTCATTTTGTGAATAGCTCTATCCAAGTCTGTATCACTACATGCTAATAATGTATCATCTGCGAACAGATTTATGAATTCACAGTCCACAAATAAGTTAATATCATTAAGATATATTATGAAAAGCAGTGGACCTAAAACACTACCTTGAGGAATGTTACCTTTCTAATGATATCAATTTCAATATTTAAAGTTTTGTTTAACCCACCGAAAGTCGAAATTAAACCTCCGAACGAAACTCACGTGTAAAGTAGGTATTCATGTAGGTATTCTGAAATAAAATAAAGAAAGATTATTATTAAAATGTTCAATTACCTTGAAATACAATATCCTGCACAAGTCGCTGATCAACTGCTTCAAGTCCACCATGCGTTCTCGGCAACCAGGGAACTGGGCTGCTACGGTAAAGCATTTCGTGATGTGCATACAGACCTGTACAGGCACTTCATCTGGTTTTGAAGAGTTGTTCAAGACGTTAACGCACCTCGTATAAGCTTCGAGCAATACCTATTGAAAATGAAAAAAGTCTTACTGAATGCTATTGACAGTTATAGTTCATCATACCTCAAGCCCGTCTTCTCTTCTGAGCTCCTCGGCATTCAAAGCGGAGCAGTCCACCGTGTGGTAGGCCAGCTCGCAGGCTGCAGTGAGTAACGGGGCATTCTTAGAGAACAGTTGTTCGTCTGCGGTTTCAATTTTGATTGTTTTTATTAACTGAGGATAGCCGGCGTATTTATACGGTTGCAATTCTGAAAAATAAAAATTTCAAGCCACATTTTATGATAATAACCATTCAAAGTGAAATCATAGTTGAGATTTGAAAACACTTTGTGAGATTTTCACATCTTCAGGCGTGTATAGACACGCCTGAAGGATCTATTGTATAGCGAAACGCGTGTTGCGTTTTTAAAAAACTGTTTAGTGAAAATCTCACAATAAAGTGATTTCTTGAATAGGCTATGGATTTTCATCAAGTACCGGCCAATTCCATGACATATTTGACCTTTGGGAGTACTAGTTACCATTCTCAGATGTACTCATTGTTTCCAATATAGAACGTCATAGTATAAATACTGAACAGAGAAATAACTTCCATGTTTCCTTCTCTTGCCTCAGATCACTGGTAACTGACCAATTTATCTAGGACCAAAATTATTTAATTTGTTACCTAATTACGTCAGAGAGTGTAATAACCTGATACTATTTAATTTAAATTTAATTTAATTCAATATAATCATATTATGCTTCTACGCATCATGTCCTGCGCAGTTTCTAAACATTTTCGGAAGTTAGAACCAGACTAAACCTAATATCTAACAAATAATTTGTCTTGAATGGAATTTAGTGTCCCGAAGCGCTGAAAATATTGCATAAGACTTATGGTGAATCAACTTTATCGAAAACACGTGCCTTTGAGTGAAAAAGTGCAATTAAAAGCGGTCGAGATGTGGTGGAAGACTTGCTTGGCTCTGGTCGACCACCAACATTCTCAACTGAACTTATTGCTTAAGTGAAAGAAATGGTGACTGAAAATCATCTCAGAGACGGCCACGGAAATTTCTACGTCTCACGAATCAATTCGTACCATTTTGAACGGTTTTTTAGGCAAGACTAGTGAGGGCGATGTTACAATTTTTTTCTATTACTGCGGTATTGTGCACTCTTGAATTCTTGGCAAAAACTCAAAAAACTATATGGAACAGCCACCGTATTCACCTGATATGACTCCGGTCGATTTTTTCTTTTTCCAAAACACAAATTACCTCCCGTTTTCAAATGATAGATGACAGGTGGTTCAAAAAAATGCATTTGAAACATGTTTTGATGACTGGGTTGTTCGCTGGGATAAGTGTATCATTTCAGAACGGGCCTAGTTTGAAGGCGATACAATGAATTTGGATGAATAATACATATTTCATGTTTCCTTGATCAATTACAGGTACTTTTTTGCATAGTAATATATACTCATATCTTGTTTCGTTTCAATGTACAATATTTTATGGAGTTTAGTTTTATACAAATGTAAATTTGTCTTTAAGGAAAATAAATGGAATGAGAAAAATAAATAAAAGATTACTTACCTTCGGAATACCTTTTGAACAGGATGCTCTGAGTTTGTAACACCAATACTATGTTGTGAGGATTGGGGCCATCACCATCCCAACTGCTGCGGCTACACAGAAACTCGTACGCTTGGTTAACTTTCTCAAAAGTATCCTGAAAAGAACATGTAATCAATTAAAACATAATTTTCCTCTGTAGGAAGTTTCGTTACTAACTCTTCCTTCCGGATTTTTATCAGGATGAAACTGTTGAGCCAATCTGTAGTAGGCCTTTCTTACAGTTGCCTCATCGTGATGTTTGTCTTCGAGACCCAGATTTTCGTAGGCATCTCTGATAGTCATCTGAGGAGGTTTCTTCTCCACCTCGGATTTCCAAGCTTCCAAGACGTCTTTCAATAATTGAATCTACAAGAAAAAGTTTTGGTTTGCAAATAATTATCAGTAACAGAATAATCGAACCAACAGCATAAGAGAAACTAACTAACTTGAAACTTTACTTGAGGCCAATTCTCGAAAATTGTGCTGATTAGACCACGATTATTACATTATTATTAATGTTTATCATCTCAAAAAAAATCTTTTATCCATGAGGTCTGTACGTGAAGGTTAACTAATAAAGTGATAATAAATGCACTTCTTGTGAAATGAATAACAGAGAAGTATTGAAAGTATTACAAAAAACAGAAACAATTTAAAAAGTATTTACGAGAAATTCCTAGAAGATAACTCTTACCGGATCTGGTATAGGCCAATCTGGAAATTTGGTAGTGTCACAGAGATGCCTTAGATAAAATATGTTACAAAACAGTTCATTCTCCAGTTGAGGATATCGAACAGCAGGAATTGGTATGTAATGGTATCTGACCATTGTATGACCCCTCAATCGGGGAGTGAAATCTGCAATATGAGCAGCTACCTTCTCTATCAACATTCGCCTAAAAATGTAAAATAATCACACACCGGAAAACAAACTGGGAGAGCTGAAAAGCACTTTGTGAAGTATGTCTTCAGCAATAAGGAAAGTCTCTGAACGATGCTGGGCTCTGGAAATCAAATTAGTTACCTCAAAAAACAGACTTAAATAAAACTAGCCTTTGAGTACATTGTGTGTGAAGAAATATGTTTCAAAAGTCACTGCAAATATAGTTGAGTAGAATTATTGAAGCACTTATTCTTATTTGTCAACTGTCAACTCAGACGCCAAACAATTGACATACTGTACAGGCGTTTTGCTAAGTTAGCATCATCAGTAGATGATTAAAACTGTCATCTCCTGATGACGTTAACCTAGTTAGTGAAACACGCATCAAGAGTCTGTACTTTTGTTCTGGTTTCAATTCTACCTGTCCTGTCAGAAATTAGTCACTTTTGAAACATATCTGTGATGATTATTGAATATATAGAAGGTATTCAACTTTCACCAGCTTCAACTGGTTTCTATATTTTTGCTTCTTTTTTTTAATTATAAAAACATCAAAGGCAAATACTCTATCATCTGCTTCTCACTGTAATCAGTCGACATCATGTAACTACAATCCAATCACGTGGTAATAGAATATATTCGTGATAACAACATTATCAATAATAACCGTTGCTATTTCTTTAGTATTGTTGCTATTTCTTTAGTACCTTTGCATACGCCCATTTCTTTAGTAAAAGAATCCCAATGTTTAAGTCACTTTCAAATTCTAAAACAGCTTGCAAAAATTGCCAATGAACAAACAAATGTTCAATGAAACAAAAAAGTGTCTTATCAACTGAACAGCTACCCCTTACCTCATTTCATGGTTCCATATGGCTTCCGGAGTGTCAAATTCTCCTAAATAAATCTGAGCAAACTTCTCGGCCTCATAATTTTCCAAATAATGAATCATCGCCTCGGGTAGAAGCCTCCCCAAAATACTCTTCTGCATAATAGCTGAAGATTCCTGAAAATTTACATTCATATCATTAAGCATTTTTTCACATAGAGCTAATTACCTCGTCTGACTTAAACGCCTGCTTCATGTGTGTCAGTTTTAAAAATCTCGCAATGGGAAGCACATTACTACCTGTGTACATCATTATAAAGTAGAATACGCCAGTGGTGTGAAGCTTTGATATTTCCGGATTGTCTTTCATAACCTCATACAAAAGTGTTGAGACTTTTTCTACGAGTATCGGGTCAAAAGTTAGAAGCAATTGCACAACATTCGCCAGGACAGTGTGTTCGGAGAGCAATCTTTTAACTTTTGGTAGAGGCCTCACCACTGCGTCATCTGCGTCTCGACTGGGGTAATACTGACACATCCTGGCAACAAAAAAAAAGAAAGGTGTAACTGAAATCTATAAAAATAGTGACAAATTAATTTTGAAATTGTTCTGAAATATTTCCCAGAAATTGAATGATTACAATCACTTCAATACCTGCAACTTAACATGAAATGAAGTATTTATTATCTCTAATGTTGTACCTAATTCATTAATGGATGCCAAGTACTACAAGTGCTACTTGGATTATAGAAAAATAAGTAATTTGCATTGAATTTTTTAGGTAATAATCACTAATAAAACTGATGTAGTTCTTACTACAGCGCTTACTACAGAAGCTGAAGACCGTAGAAGTTGAAGAGCATGGAAATCTCAAAACAGGTGATTTTTCATGTGTAAATACTACCACCAAAAGTAGGCCAATTGGGAATGTTCTGAAACTTCTTTAAATTAAGCTTAATATTTCTGGGAAGTTCACCTTATTTGCAAGTGACACTACCATACTTTGGAATAATAAAAACACTTGTCAGTTGCACAAAATAATCTCTGCCGACTTGAAAAAAGTCAAAGATTGGTGTGATTCAAACATTTTATCTCTCAACTTAACTAAAACAGATTTAATATCATTTAGATGCTCAATCAACGAACTTTTTTTTTGAAGACAGATCACTGGAATCTAAAAATAACACTAAATTTCTAGGAGTGTTCATTGACCAGAATTTAAAATTTGTGGATCATGTTAAACAACTCACTAGAAGTCTCCTCTGGCTGGTATGCAGTTAGAGTGATTTATAAAGAATTGGGGTTCAGCACTGCAAAGATGGCATACTATGCACTCATAGATTCTCACTTAAGCTACGCAATACCTTTTTGGGGGAGCATGCAGTCCAACTTGATTCAAAAGTCTACTAATTTTACAGAAAACGGTAATAAAGTATACAGGAAACCTTAAACCAAGAGACTCCTGTAGAACCTTCTTCAAAAAACATATTATTCTAACGGTAACTGCATTATTTATACTGGAATCTGTGTGTTTAATAATTAAGCATATATTAAATTTTGCTGCATCCTCTTCCCATTATAAAACCCGAAACAGCAGACACACTCTAAAACTCACTGTGCCAACTAAAAACATCACCAGAGACTCCATATTTTACAACGGTGGAAAAATGTACAATAATTTGCCTATGGACATAAGATCTGGCAATATAAATGACTTCCAGTTCAGGAGTTAGTCAAACAATTTCTATCTGATAGACCCTAGCTTGTGCAAGTGTCCGCAAGTTCAATATTCTACTTACTTTATGAGAATATTTAGAATATAGGTAGCTAGTTCACTTTCATTGAGAACAGGAGTTCCTTTAGCTAAAAGGCACCATTTCAACTGGGAAAGTTGAGAAAGTGGACGCCATCCTGTCACTGCCATAGCCCAACATTTAGTTTTATGATTCACTTGTCCCTTCTCGAACAGTTCTTTCAACTAAAAAAAAAAGAAAACTATTTACATACAAAATATTCTACATACAGCTTGTCATATCTAGGAAGAGCCTTGAGAGTTATCTCACTCTCTCTCTCTCTTGCTCTCATAGAACACGATGATGAGATAAATTAAGTCCCCTTTTTGAATGATAAGACAAAAACAGTAACCTCACTGAATGTAACAGGTCCCTCTCTTCTTTTGTCTGTGTTATAATACCATTGTTTCTCTTCGGCGATTTTCATATCGGCGCCGGCTTCGATTACGTTGGTTTGAGTAGGTATCACAGCCCTAGAGGTGTGTAGGTGTGCCAACGTCATTATGTCCACTAAAATTTGAACTCCGCCCACTTCCAGCACTTCCCTGACATTTCGATGGTGCAAAATCAGTTTTTCAATGAACATTACCAGTCTGTCGCGTTCTTGCTTGTCTATACACTGAAAATATATGGAATTATTGGGGTGAACAAGCTTTTGGAAATGAATATCTCACTCTTTCCAGCATTCCTATGATATATTTTGTATCACTGAAAGGCCCGATATCTTCGTAGTATCGTCCATAGACAATTGACATAGCTTGGAGGCACATACACTTCATTTCGACTTTGGTTGTTAATAGAAATCTGTGGTAGAGGTCATTGAAAAATTCGTACCTGAAAACAGAACAAAAATTGTTTTTTTGCTATTCAAAATATGAGTAGGGACAAATCAGTAAATTTTCAAATGAAATCCAATGGATATATCGAAACAAATGATGGAATTGGCCACCCATAACTAACGTATTCAAAAACACTTTATTGTGAGATTTTCACTAAACAATTTTGCAAAAACTCAACAAGTGTTTCGCCATACAATAACTTCTTCTGGCATGTCTTTACTAACCATATTCTACATATTCAATGCTTAATATACCTAATTTTACAATTTGAAATACCTACATTTCAAGTATCATGTGTCATGAATTAAATTATCTGAGCTTATGTCCTAGTTTCCACATTTGAAAAAACATTTAGTAATGGAGAGTTATTCAATTACCCAAATTCTTGAATCTATTGATTTCTAAAAATTCTAGAAGATTGAATTTCAAACTTATCTCTTCAAAATGTAATATGTCTTATTCATGATTGAATTCATGTCCTTCTGCTAGAAGGTGGTTTACAAATGTGAAATTGGTCTTTCTATTTACAAAACTATTTCTATTCTCTTTGATTCTTTGAGGAAATATTCTCCTTGTTTGGCCAATATACAGTTTTGGGCAATAGCCACAAGACAGCCTTTATATATCGTATATAAGTAAAAGGTCCAAATGAAAGTCGCAGGGAACACTTCACTACTGCGACAACGCAAGCATAAGCCAATGCATGGAGTCTTCTTCAACAACATTGAAGACCTTGGCTTAACAAAGCGCCTGACCTTCGCTTTCCTCAAGTCGAGTGGGTTGGAATCGCAAACTGAGGAGTTTTCAGCTCCTAGCGAGATGAATATCTTATGAAAAGAGGGGAAAAAACGAGTTTCTCTTCGAACTCCACAGATTTTACCCAAACCACTAAGTCAAGAGATAGAGAGAGAGAGAGAGAGAGAGAAAATACAGTGCTTTATCCAGTTCTCAACTTCATGAATACTTGAAGGAATAAATTTGCATGCCACAGTTGAATATTAAAAAAAAACCCTAACTGTTATCAGAGGATGGAAATTCTCATTTAACTTCTCATCAGCACCAGTATGTGCAGTTTCAAATATTTGTTACAAGCGGAAACAGATATGCTTTTTTCTTTCCTACTACTTGAAAGCTATCCGACTTGTCCATTTCTTTCAAATCTCCGCAAAGCACTGCAGCCTCATTAACTCATTTCGTTTATCATCCAATTTTCCTTCAATTCTCTTTTTGAATGGTCCCTTCATAAAGGTTTTCCTGTGTGTGTTCCCAGGTGCATTTCCTCAGTACTCTCTTGTTTCTTATAGACCTACTTTCCAATCTGGTTCCATACCAGAGATTGGTACCCCCAAATCTTGTTCAGGGCCTATATATGGAGTTCATTATCAGTGTCTGTCACAGCGTTTTTGTCGTTAGTGATATCCCGAAAGGAACCTGTTCTGTTACAATGACTTTGTATCGTTTCAGATTATTTGAAAATGGAAGTAACATATGAAATCATGTGAAAAACTAAAAGTTTTACATGAAATCTCCTGAATCAGTTGGACAACTGGCATTGATGAACTTACGATCTACGAATAGGAGAGTCATCGTCATTGATTTCCAAGAGCAGCCTCAAGTAGTAATCTCCAATCTTCACCTCATCCGCAAGACAAGCATAACTCACTTCAAATTCTTGGTGATTCCAAGCTACCAGAGCCAAACCGGCCAACTCTCTATCAGAAGTAAAGTTCCTCACTTCAGCTTCTAAGGCACTTCGAAGCTCTTCCCTAGTCTGAAATGAAATAGCATCGAGTTAGATCAATAATCAAAATTTTATTCGCGTACCTTATGATTCCATATCAGGTTCGGTAGAGCGTGATCCTGGTTGAAATTCCAATAGAAAAGGGGCCAGTTCGATTCTGCTTTCTTCCTTTCTCTTCTCCTTCTCAAAACAATCGGTCTTTCTTTGATCTTCTCATCTCTTTTAATAGTGATTCCCACCCTCGTACCCCAATGCTGAAGAGCAAGATTTGTGTAGTGCTCCACCCTTTTTTCGACGTTTTTCAACTGCCTTTCAATTGCCACCCAGTTTGGATTTTTTTTAGACCTGTTTGCATGATCTTGAGCCAATTTTAGGTTGTCCCTGTTGTTGAGCATCTCTTGCTCTAGGGCTTCTTTCGGAATCTGATCTTTTGAGTCCAAGAAGACTATCAAACCGGTAGGCTGAAATAAAAGAACTTGTGAGAGCCACTACGAAAATCACCCAATAAAATATGTACCATGATTCTTTTGAGAAGACCCATTGCAGTGGGATTGCCTGTCACCCAGAGTCCGATGAGATGTCGGGAGAGTTGTCTGTGGGTCAGTAATCTCCCATCGGTCCCTTGAGTATAAAGTGAAGCCAGTAGATGGCGCGGAAGAGCTCCTTCAGCTAAAGCTAGATTTTGCATTTTTTCTGCTACTTCTGACTCACCCTCTTCTATGATAGATCGCATAACCAGACCTGCTCCTTTCACTATGGCCAAAGAGGGGTGCTGCAAAAAAAATTGATTCAAACATTGTTAGAGTTTGTATTTCATACATTTCCAGTCGGTTTTTCATAAAATATAAAAAAAACAATAATGTAAATACTGGAATTGATTTGTTTTATTAATATAAACTCTCAATAATAAATTTGATACTGGTTAAACTTTATGCTGATGATACAACCTTTTTTTAGTAAAAACGTTGGTATACAAGAATATATTCAAAATGATCAATCTATATCAATATGGCGTCATATATATTTCCAAAATGAATCAATAGTATTAACATTCCACTATCTTTTGATGACGAAATTATTTCCTGCAAACAATTTATGCAATTAAATTGTTTATATATAGATGAAATATAAAATTGGAAAGAACAAATACAGAAAATGAAAGCCAAAATTATTTCACTATCCCTATCCCTACCTCTTATCCCCCCTCCCTATCTAAATGGAGATTGTTCAGGCCAGTCTCAACTCACCTACACTGTACGTTAATGAACTGACGGATATAATCCAACGCCCTTCGTGGTATTAGCCAGGAGAGTAGTTATTTTCTGATGGTTCCAGTCCATTAACCTACAGTGTAGGTTATAACTGCGATACTGATATTTGATTCTGGTTTTATATCAATATTAGTGGGCGTGGCTTGTTTTCTTCTAATTGGATTACCTGACCTTGTTTGTGTACCTTTAAGGACAGTCCTTGAAGGTACCTTAAAGGTACATAAACAAGGTCAGGTAATTCAATTAGGAAACAAATGTGTCTCTGACAGTGTCAGAAGTTTGAAAGTCGTTGAAAATGTTAGTGAATCATACTTCAAACTATCCAAACTACTGCTGATGAGGCGTTATATTCAGTATCGTTCTCACGGTTTGTTCCAATTTCCATCATGAATATTCAATGATCAAATTAAAAATATCCGTTATTTCAGTATCGAAATGCAGTATCAAGTTTCAATCCTCACGAAAAAAAAATCAAAAAGGCATTTTTTCAATAATAATTTTCATCATATATTTTTTTTTCATAGCTGATATTTTTATTGAATAACAGTGAAGAAGTATTCATATTAGTGTAACGAAACTGAAGCCGCCCCTGACCGATATGCTGGCCGACTCAGCCAACAAACACATGACATCACCGCGAAAGAATGCAGTCGGGAATCGCCGGTAAAACTCTAGAACCGAACCGACTACAGATTTCTAGAAAGGACCGTTACCGATATAAGCCCGGCTTCCCGACCCAAGAGGGCAGTTCAGAAAGTGAATCGAGAGGTTAAACAAGGATAGTGGAAATGAATTAAGCGTTGGTTGCTAAGTGTTGTAAATAAATTGGTTTGTGATTAGTGAAATATTGTTGGAAATAAATTTGTTTAAGACAGTTAATTCTTTAATTTGTCACATTAGCATAACTGTAATTTATGCTAAGCTTGTTTGATACCATAGGTTATAGGTTAAGTTAAGAAAAAACAAAAGTTAGACGAATATGATTAATGGAAGAGAAGGATTTAAGGAGAAAATATCACATCTAAAGTGATCATTTACTATGAAAAAACTATTAATGCATTTCTAATTACCTGAAACAACCGAAACAGCATTCTACCCCTTTCGGAAACCATTTCCAAAAGTATGTCAAAGTGTTTTCCATCTGTAGTTTCACTGTATGGTACACAAAGGGCAAATGTCAAAAAATCCAACATAGCTGATACTATCAAGGCTCCTGTTCCCTGTGCCTATGAAGTAAATAATGAAACGGTTTCATGAAATCAATCAATATACTTACAATGTGCATAGTCCACATATTCAAAAGACTCTCCAAAAAAGGTTTGGTTTGCAGTATGGACGATTTATTCAGTTGCTCTTGCCTCAAGTCGTAGTCCTCATGCATGGGATGCATCAAGGCACATATCACATCTATGGCAGCTTGCGTTACACCATAGTCATTCGTTTTCAATGCTGCAATGACTTTGTGACCTACTGCCTCTCTGAAACTATTTGAAGGGATTAGAATTAGTAAACACAATAGAGAAAGATTAAATTTACCCTGGTAACTTTGTGAATGACGAATATCCCACCTTGCTAGCCACCAACCGTCTCAGAGCTTGAAACTGAGCTTCGAGTTCCACCAGGCTGGTCGTTTTTTGTTCTCCCTCTTTCGATACCAGATATTGCAACACGCTAGTAATGAGTTTCTCTTTGTTTTCCGAAAATATTCCCTGGAAAACAGAAAAACTGAGCTTGATCAGGACGGGACACATAAAAAACTACTTACTTCCTGAGAAATACTGTACAAAAGTCCGCTGTAAGGTATGTTGGCATTGAAACGTCTGACACACTGAGAAAAAGGCCTTGACGGAGGTGGATTCATCAACAATTTCAAGTGCAAGCTTTCAGTCTCTTCCTCCACTGGCAAGTGTAAGGGGCCCAATCTCAGGCCTCGTTCAGTAGGAACCATGGTTACGTGGACGTCTTTATTACCTGCCGCTCTCACTCCATCAAGAAGGGAAGCAAGAAGTGAGTCCCTGGAAATGCAAGACATGATAGAGATACTAAGTATATGGAGTTGTTTTGGGAGTAAAATTAGATCGTAAACTGACTTGGGAGGCTCATACAATCAATCATGCTCTTTTTCACAAAACTATGTCCTAGGAAATTATCTTATGGGGAGGGTATGCACATGTTGGCAATTAAGTTCAAAATAAACTCTTCACGAAGATTTCAAATTATGCATAGAAGTCACTTTCAGACACAAACTGTAAGAAAAGCCCTCCTGAAACAACTACTTTCTCATGAAAATTGAATTATACGAAAGAAAAACCAACTACTTTCACACGAACATTGAATTATTTGTATGATTCAATCTTCATATGATAGGCTATGGAAATGTGTTGGTAAGAACACTGCAAATTATCATTATTAAAATGAAGGGCAACGTACCAGAAGAAAGAAGCTGTGTCACCCATTAGTCAGATGTTACATTTCATGTGTAGTAATAAGATTTGTTTCCCCACTTATAGTCAAATATCCTTTATATATGTTACCTGTCTGTCGTTGTATACGTTCTGCTCTGACCACTCAGATACTCGATAGTGAACTGCTGGGGGTTTGTATAGTCTCTAACTAAGGCAAAAATATTACTCAAGGGTTGTAGGGTGCAAATACTGTATGTTTGGGGATCTCTCTCCAGAATGCAGGTCTCTGACAGACAAAGTGTCCTTCGAACGGGATCTGAATGTCTTGCTTTGTGGATTTTGTACACTGCAAACTCGGACACTGCTGTAATGTGTTCGTCATCGCTAAAAAATATGAAAATTCGGAAATTCTATTCAATTCTAATTGGAAAACATTAATTTTACCAGTATTTTCCTAGTCTCTCTCTCTGAAAGTCTTCCAAAGTTATGGGGGTACTGAGAACCTTGATGTTTAATCCTATATTCGCAGTAGCAGATTCTAATAATTTGATTTTTATTTCTTCATAATCCACAGCTTGAAATAGGTGAAGGCGACCAAAGCCACCACAAACGATTACAAAACCTCCTGAAACGAAGGTATCATTATGGCACTATTGAAAGCAGGCTTTATATTTTAAAATTTGAAGTAGAATGTAAACAAGGTCTTAAATTCATTTTCTACCCAGAAAAGCTGAATATTCTCTGTAGACTAAACACTCTTAAACTAATGAAATCACACAATAAGTTATTACTCCAGTTTTGAGATAGCGAAAAGATAAACCGCGAAAAAATAAATTGTCATCTTCCCTGTAAACATACCAATAATGCACACAAGATCTAGATCTGAACAAACATGTACAACAATTACGAGTATGAAGGTAAATAACTTGAAGAATATTGTCTTCTACTTTTTTAAATGTAGAATCTAATATCGTAAGAGAAAGCCGAATGATAGCAATCGACAAACGGAACAAAACGAACCATGTCTGATAAAAGGTATATTTAAGGAGTTGAGATACTCCAAATCAATATAATTATGATAGCTGATGAGTTTGAAGTGTTGGAAAAAAACATTATCATCTTACAAGAGCAACTCGAGGTTCAAAGACATATCAACAGAGACCTCATCCAATTATTGAACAGTAAGTAGACAACAGATTCGACAATTAATGAAATTATCTCAAACATGTAAAAATTACTAGGTGAAAAATATCTACAGGATGCCTCGTGAAAAAGTCACACTTGACAAAAAAATCTACTTTTTTTCAAAATATCTATTTTTCATTTTGATTCACTTTTTATAATGCAATATTTTCAAAACCTAGGTTAGAGAGAATTCATTTTCTGGATCATCCAGTAGAAACGGCACTGACTCATAATAAAAAATCGCAGGATGAACTGTATCCTAAAAAACAATGAAAAGACTTTAGGCAAAGAACTTGGAAAAAGAAAACAAATGAAAATTTTCCAAATATTCAAAATCTGGCTCAGAGATATTATCAAAGTAGTTTGAGATAAGTCATTTTACCCAGTTTTTTTCTTGAAATTTTGCATACAATGATATTATCGTGAGAGTTTTCATTCTGAAATTAATTCCTAGACATTTGCTTGATTTCATAAGAATATCTTGTACTCGAGCAGTGGAAACAGCTACTTGAACATATGTGGAGAATACTGTTTCGATAAATAGTTAATATCTCCTTAACTAACAAATTTTTTTTGCAAATGATGTATGGTTATTTTTTAGATTCATATTTCAATATAAAATCAATTTCCACATGATAATATTCATTTTTCTGGAAGAATAATGACATCATTCAAATTAAAATGCACTTGAAACTATTTGTTTATGCCATTTAATGAAGAACAGATGAAATTAGTTTGGACTATATTTAACCTGTTGGCATTAATTTTGGAAACTATAATTTGTTCATTTGGTTTTCATTTATTTTATTTCGAATTTATTGATTTAATGAATTTTTCGTTTATTTCGAATCAGTTATGAAATAAACAAACCACTATCTAATTGAAAACCTAAAAAATTTTTTACTAGTTTTTAAAACTTCCAATTTTAAGAAGCTTTTTCAAACACTATTCTCTTCCACACATCTTTAATTTTGACACAATTATTATTTTCTGGTGTATCTAACCTACAAATACAATTCAAATGGTATGTACAGCTGTCGGACTGAGTCACGGCCTGTGAGAAGCCCCAACCTCAAGATGCGCAGTAGATGTGTAGAAATCCGTTATCAGTCTGTTAGATTATTCGAGCCGTAAACATCCAAATACAGGACCATATTCAGTTAATGATGGAATTAAAAAGTAAATTGCATAAACATATTTCAATTAGTCTGTACTGCACATCTTGAGGCTGGGGTTTCTCACCGGCCTTGACTCAGTCCCGCAGATCTAATGATTTTTGGACAACAGAGGTATGATAAACTTTCACTGATTTAAAAATTATGAAATAATCAACAACTCTCGACTAAAAGAAGAAAATGTTTTAATACAAAAGCTTCCAGCACGGATAACAAACTCCAAACAAAACTTTGTACAGGGATTTAACCAAGTAATAATTACCATGAAAAAACAGAAGATGAATCTGCTGTTTAATTAAATGAAATAAAAATTACAGTCTTTTCAACTTCAATAGTCTAAAACTGGAGGACATTTATTGGTTGAGAGTTTTTTGATATTATGTAGAACGTGTTAGAAATATTGAATATACACCAGAAATATTTATACTGAAGCATTCATTTTGAGTAATATTTCATGGATTGTAGATTCTTTATGAGTAGAATCAGAAGAGTTTCCAATACTTAGATTCGCCGACCTTGCATTTAAAAAAATGCATTTGAGAATTACAAACATAGTAAATATGAATCATTAAAATACACAAACTATTAATAACAGATAATCTAATCCTTAGCGAATGGGATAAGATATGGTCCAACTGATAAAAAATGAGTATTCACTTTATTCAGGTATTGTACTTTCATTTTCTTCTATCATCATCATGTAATCATGTATTAATTAAATAACATAAAAAATAACTTCTAGTTTGATGGTATGCACTATAGTTTTTTGTGAACGAGTGTACCAAAATAAAAATAAAAGAAGTGCTAATTAAATGTACGATGCCCACAGAATTTGAACCATTCACCTTATTTTTTGAACAGCCCACATATTACTTTATCTACAAAAACAATATAGTTTTTTCTATTGTGAAATAGTGATAAACCATGAAAGACCAAATTTTACTTTAATACAACCATTTCAATGCTAACCTGGATAATCAGACACAGTACAAATTCCCTCAAAATCTTTGAAGTGATAACTGGCAAGAATTTCATTAGTTGTGGGATCCAGCTGGTCGAGAGAAAATGACGTGACTTCTAGAATGACAGGAAGTCTTACATCTGACCAGTGATGTTTGTAGGCTTGATATCGCTGAAAAAAAAAACATTTCATATCGTGTTGACAGAAATAAGTAAAAAAATATTATTAAATTATTTATATTGTAGAAAACAATTTGCATACTACTTACGATCACAATAAAAACTAAAAAGTTGTGAGGTTTCTTGAGGCTCCATTCTCGTGCTAGTTTCATTTTTTATTAATATACAGTCTATATTCGGATATACACCTAAATACTTAATTGTACAAGTGACAACAAATTGATTTCAATTTTAGATTTTATTGATTTCTTTTAAAATTGTTAATCACTGAATTGTATTATTAGTCTTTGACTAAATAAAGGACTATATTATACTTATATATACTGCTTATATTAAAAAATGTGAAAACTTCAATAAGCATTGGGATTGAAAATAAAAATGAACATTTGACCAAATAAAGGACTATATTATACTTATATATACTGCTTATATAAAAAAATGTGAAAATTTCAATAAGCATTGGGATTGAAAATAAAAATGATTATTTGACCAACATACTGAACAACTGGGACAAAAACTTTCCAAACATATTGGTACTTTTTTCAAAAATAGAAATTTTATTATCTAGAATTGTTAATAATTCAATAATGAAACAGATGCAAAAAAATCACAAAGCTATAAAATTATCTACTTGTAACTCACTTAAAATAATTATAAACCCAATAGCATACCTGAATTTATTTCATATAATATGAATTTATGATTATTCCTTTGCTTTATAAAATAAGGAATGAAATTTTTGAGTATAGTAAACAATATCCACTAGCCAAATTGATTCTTTACACTCATTGAATATAAGAATGAACTTTGCAGAAAGTTTACTCAACAGTTTTTAAAAGTGTCACTATCCGATGACTGTCATCAGATAGTAATCCAGAATGTATAAACCTCTGAAGAAGCTAGCCACTTGCGCCAGCAAAAAGTCAGGAAGAAATTCCAAAAATTCACGACCTTCGAACCCAAAAAACAGTGGCAGTGAAAACCTCGCCCACGAAAGTCTTAACCATTTTGTCAGTTTTTTAAAATCAAATATATTTTTTGTTTTATTCTGATTTAATCACTATTATATCCTTATTCATACATAAATCATTTGTCTTTACCAATGATGTACATTATAAATTGATGTAGTGTCTTTAGATGGAAATGTGTTTCAAAAATTGCATCATCATGAAATCATCAAAATTACTCAGAACACATTATCTAAAAAAGATATAAATTTATTAACTCATTTCATAATCTAGTTACTAAAATATTAAGTGTTTGTTTGAAGGGCTTGTGCTAGTTTTGGAAAAAATTATTAGACTCACATATTTTTGTCTGCTGATTTCAGATTTAAAGTCAAAAGACGGCACTCTGGTCAACTTTTGGAGATCAACAATTCAAAAGTTGGAAAATTAAGTATTTCAGGAACTCACTTTCTATAATAAAAACTTCTGAATGGCACCTTGTTTTGACAATTACATGCTTTGGACACTTCCATTTTTTCTATACAAAACACTATTTTTCAAAATTGTATGTTTTCCCACAAACTACATCATTAATGTTTATGAAACTAACTTACACTTTTACAAGTGACTCGTTCATTGATTTTGTTGGCATGTTACATGGAAATAAAATTTGCAAGAATGAAAAAATATGTTCCTTTTTATAAGGCAAAGCTGAGCAAAATTTTCAGAAATTGGCAACATAATTTTCATTTAATGACTCAGAATTTTCGTGGCTCATGTAAAGCATGACTTTAAAAAAAGGTTATTTTGATGAAATAGAAATTTTATTATTCTATGAAAAAACATGAAATGAGTGAATAAATATAAATAACATGCAATTGTGAAGAAAAGGTGACATTTTAAAAGAAGTTGTAGCATCTTCGAAAGTATACCGAAGTTTTAACTTCTTCATATTCATGAACCTAGTTTTCAGAAACTAGTGGGAGACATTAAAACAGATATTTACCAATTATTTAAAGAACCTCTATGAATAGAGTGTATGAAAAAATATGCCAATGATATGATAAAAAGTATGGTAAGATAAAATTACAAACCAATATTTCTTTGGGTTTTTCCGAGAAGCAATTTCTGAACTTCAGAGCTTCTGTCAATAAGTGAGTTCTGTGTTCTGAAGAGAATGTCATCTTGTCAATCTTTCGATCTTTTTTCATCATTATCTGAAATTCATATGGGCTTCCTGTCCTCATGGGGGTGATGGAAATGAAATCGCCATAAGCCCATTTATTGGTGATTTCAAGGTTACTTGGGTTGTAGGTAGTTATTCCTGTTGTACCCACAGAAAATATTCTCTTGTACCTGCAATGACAAAAGTTTCATTGGATTCATTCAATGACTTATTGAATATAACCAAAATTATAGAACTCACTTTCCCTTCCATGTTGTGAGCTTGGTGCAAAAAAAGCAAGCCACATCCTGATTGTCCTTTACTGGCATCATCCTCACAGCCTTTATCTAAGCAAAGTTGGTGGTGTATAAATAAAAAAACCCACATACAGGTATAACCATATCATGGAATTCTTTATAAACAATAGGTGAGCACATATTTACCTAAAGAGGAACTCGACAAACAAAGCAAAATGTTTTTGGACCTATAAAAAATAAAACATCACTTTTATTTTGGGGGTGTCAGCTGTTGACTACTCCACTTGCATGTATCCTCTATTCACCTATCATGTCTTCTGACACTCAATAATCTTTTATCTATTAGAATTCACAACATACGTTTCTGTAGTAGGAAGTCTTGTGTTGATGAACATGAAAATTCAGGTTTAAACCGGGGTTGTTACCTTTGGATTGGAAAATCTAAACTCTAAAGATACATTTACAAGGCAAAATTCAATATTACAAGGTAGCAATAAGCAGTAACTGGTAACTTACATTGACATTAGTGACATTTGACAATAAATAATCATTAAGCTAGAGACGAACATCTGCCTTAGGTTGAAAAAGCTGATTAACAATTTTTAAATCGATTATTCCCGTCATACCGATAAAAATATTGAAGGCTAGGCCTGGTTGAAGGCTAGGGAGAGCTAGGTTGAAAATCACAAAATAAATTCAGTACAATTTTCGAAAACACTAAATTATTTGTCTACTCAAATGAATGTTTCAAATTGTCTTTTTAATTTTTCTGTGATACAGTTAAGTTAGTTGTTCGGCTTTAACGGTTAATGATTATTTATCGTCCAATATCTCTTTTGATGCAATTTCGGAAAGGGTCTGAATCCCCTGTCCCTTAGGTTGAGTGGTTTTCGTAAGGATTATTTCCTGAAATATTCTCAGCTGGATGCATCGATATAAGAATTGAATTAGATCGATTTCATCATTGATACATAGGGTTTATTTCATGGTTGTCAGCCTAATTGTAGTCAACTTTAACAATTTCTAAAGTATCTGCTAGAATGATAAGTGTGTATCATTTTTCAAGGTCAACACCTTTTTCCCATTCATGTCAAGAAAACTTATTCTTTTAGTGTGAGAACTCACATAACCATTTACGAAGGAATATTTATTGAGAAACCTAAACACATAGTTTGAAGGCATGTTCAAATTATTTTACGTACGTCATTTGGAACGGGCTCTGAATCTAATATCTTTTATCTCCGCTCTTCTGTGATTGTCGCATGAACTCCCAAAAGAAGAGACCTTGAAATCGACAAATCCATTATGGTGTCTTGACAGTGACGTTTATATTTACATAATTTTGTGTAAATTGTTATAATTTCAGTGAAAAAAAGTGATAAAAGTGTAAGATATTCATTGCACCATATTGTGCTATATCTATAGTTCAAAAATATCTTCCTCAGTGCCGTAACAGTCGATGCTTGGATGATATTTGGAAGATGATATATGGATGTTTTATTTCAGTTTGAACTTTTCAATTATTTCACTTTCAATTTGCTTATATTCAATCCCATGCCTAATAAAGTGTTTATGAAAACTCGCTGTTAACAAAACAGGGATTGTAAGTATTATGTGGTAATTTAATGTAACCACATACCTATCTTATATCTATTTGACATTTTGATTGTAGAAAGTGAACTTTTCTTTTCAAGATCCGTTTTTACGACCTAAATTCCAATGGTACAGATAATAAAAAAGATTATCAACGAATGCTTGATACCGTCTTTCAACCATTCAAATTCAAACAAGAATATCTTGATTAGTTTATTGTATTTTAGTGCCAGTACCATATTGCTCTGAAAATTCACTTTTAATTCACTTTCTACCGTAATTTTTTTTATATTCTCCTTCATTCAATCTCAAAAATATTTTATATCGCAAATGAGTAGCTATAATTTAAATCTTGGTTACTAACAACGCTTCATTTTATCAAATAATCAAAACAATTCATTTCCAACAAATTCTAATTTCATCTGAGTTCTACTACCAAAATGATTTAATTAAGTAGTCTTTAAAGTTGTTATAGTATCATTTACCAAATGACCAGAGAGAGTTGCAAAATATTTTATTTATACTTGCCTCCAGCTTCATAATTAGTTTAAAGTTAAAAAAGAATTTAATGAGATACTTTTTAATCTGTTAACAAACATACTTTCAGTGAGCTGAAATTGAAAATTACATTTTAATCCCTCAACCTTATTAATATAATAAATATTACCTTGTGATAGAAAATTTTTGCAATGTGCACTTTGGAAACAATAGAAATTATTATCTCTATAGATAATATAAATGCATCGGGATCAGGCTATCGATATTAGTTCATTGCAAAAACATTGATTAAGAACGTATTGATTATTTGATTATAAAATGTGAAATTTGTTGCTCCTGCTAAACATCTTTGACACAAGTTAACTGCAACCGTGGATGGTAAGTTACGAGGATATAGATTATATTCAATCACGTAGATTTCACAATGAGCAAAAGGATCATTTACGACAGCATTTCTAGTTATTGATAATGAGATAAGGAGAAAACCAGATTTTTGATATGCCAATGTGCACTTGAGTTAAATTACAAACATTTGTTTGTGATGATAATGATAATGAATTAATTCTTCAGAAATATAACTTTCAAATAATTTTTTTTAATTGTGTGAGTCTGAAATTTATTGTTTTTGGAAGTCTACTTAGTGTCTTCAAAAATTGTTCAATGTACTTATTCCTGTAAACACTTATGTGTAATGAAATTGGTAGAACTATTCGGAAGGAACAGAGTATTCACAGCAGTACTGGGACTTGATAGCTCAATCTGGGAAATTTTGACTGAGCAGGCGTTCTCTATCTTTTACTACAGCTTTCACTGCAACTAGTTGTAAACTAAAGCCCACATACAAACATATACCATATTTTATTGGATTAATATGCAGATGTGGTGAATTATTATTGTAAAGTTGGTTATTTTCGAGAGTGACATATGGAGTAACTCCAGCTTTATATTTGGTTCAGTTAAAGTGTCGAAGTTTTCGCCAAAAAAGGTTAACTCATAAGGGTAATTTTTTCCCAGTCCATATGAAAAGTAAAATTGGTGATGTTTTCTTGGAGACGAAACGCCGGATTGAAAATGTGAAAACCATTATGTACAGCTTGAGAAGTGGCAATGAGAAGGTGTTTTTCTGTTTTTCCTAGTTCAACCGACTTTGTTTCTCTCTCTTTTCCACATTGGCCCTCCTTAGAGAGTATAATCTCTTCTGTATTTGTATTGTCACCAAAGTAGAGTAGTATCATCAGTAAATTAGGAAAAAATTTATGTCTGCTTAATTTTTCAGGATCTTTCGGCAGCGCTTTGCTTCAATTTGAATTCGTATAGAAAAATTGGCGAAAAGTTGCTTAACGATATCATATAGACAAGCTAAAAAGATGAAAAAAATTAAAATTTGTAAAAAAATTAATAACATCAATGTATAGAGTACAAAATTTTCTATCGATCAGTGTACACCACGACTGCGTCGTGATATACATCAGAAACCCAAAGTTGATACAAGTTCTTTGATTCATTAGTTTTAACGAAAGAAAATCACTAAGCTCTTGAAAACACGTCTAACTTTATCGGCTGTCACAAAGTAAACAATGAATATAGCTGAAAATGTTAGCACACTTCAGGGCATTCTTACCAACATAATAAAAAAAATTATAATTTGACTCTCCAAACCCGTGAAATTGAAAATTTTCCAGTATTTCCACATACCTTGCATGTACTTCAGTATTCAGAAAGACTTTTCCAAGGGTTGAACCCTATTTCCAAATCGGTTTCAACCAACTTTGTTTAATCCATCAATAACATCGTTGTTTTTTTTCTAAAAAAATGATTTGGGCATAGTTAATGCAAACTTCATTTTGGACAAATGGGGAGACCTTCCCCCAAACGAATGAGATATCATACAAGTAGTTTCTTGAATGAGATGATGAATTTAATATTTGCAAAACAAGATAAAGAACAGAATACTCATAGCACAAAGCCTTTGAAACAAGGAGTTGTCCCAAACTTTGGAGGAATTGAAGAAGACTAGTGATCAAGATGAAAAATAAGTTAGTTTGTTGTCTGGAGAAATTGGCTTTACATTGTGGTAATGATCCTTCCAAATTTTCTGAAATGGAGTAACTTGAAAAGAGGCTAATATTATTTCATAAGTCCCAAAAAGATTCTTATTTGAGAAAATCACTTTGTTGCATCGTCAACTCTTTTATGAAATGTGAAAAGCACATGAAAGACCTATATGATGGAATTTACCGATACTTGATGAAAATCCATAAGTAACGTATTCAAAAAACGCTTTATTGTGAGATTTTCACTAAACAGTTTTACAAAAACGCAACACGTGTTTCGCCGTACAATGTCTTCTTCGGGCGTGTTTTTACTAGCTTTAGTAAATAATAAGGGGGCCATATTTCAGGAAAATTTTCAATTTAATTACATAATCCCTATGATAGGGGGGAAAGACCCTTCAATTCAAAATGGAAAGGGGGTAAATACATACCTCATTGAAAGGATTGTTTAATTATCATTACAAATGTACTATTTGTTACTTGTTTTCAGAAAATAATTTAAAACCCCTAATAAGTGTAGGTAGAAAAAACACATTTATTAATTTAGCAAAACAAAAATATGGAAACACACTTACTAGACATACTTTAACCAATTTTCATTTTTTATTTTGAGAGGAATAATTCATTAGGTTGTTTCAAAAATGTTGTCCGTTCTTACGAGTCTACTTCAAGCTGTAATATTTTAGTGAATACTTATTCAGTTTAATTGAAATAAGCGCTATTTGAATCAATGCACTTTTTTCAACGTAACACGAGTCTTTTAATTCCGTCAGCTTAAAAATTGTATGCTCGGGATACGATGAAGTCGACGAAGGCAGTTTTTGCCTGGTTCGGAATTCACTAATTTGCCTTTATCATTTACGTGCAGTAGAATAATGAAAAATGTCTCCTAAATAAACCCCAACAACTCAATATCACTTGCTACTTGAGATATATTCCTCTGATGAACAATAATCGAAAGCCACTCTGTATTAGTACCTCAGAGTGCCTCTTCCAATCTAAAAATAAAGACTCGTTTCGTTCTTCAACCAAGGAATATTGTCAATTGATATTCATTGATTACTGTTCCATAGTTAGAGACATTCCTTGTGAACTTTAATCGTCTTTGTATGGAAAAAAATGTATTTGTTTGAGATTTATCTTAAGTTTTTTTTTGAAAGTTTTGATAACGTAGAGATTGGTGATTTGTATGCTGAAGATAAATGTGGATGATTGATTCATAATTTCCGTCATGTGCTGGGTGCTGACTAGTTCATTGATGCCCATGGTTTTTAGTCTTGTCTTATCAGACGCTTTTATAGGTATTCTAGAGCTTTCGCTAATTTAAATATTGTAACGGTGGCTGACACTCTTCAATCTGGAAAAATTACTAACAAGTATGTAGTACCTTAATAGCCAATGTTCTATGAGTAATCCTGTTATTACCTCAGATCATTTTCCAAAAATTGTCCAACTTTACTGATACACTAATCAACATTTTGACTCATGTTGGTCTAGTAAGATCTGATCAAGGCATCAATATGTCTTGATTTTTTCTCTGTGTGGCTTACTGGCAGTTTACAAGAATATTTCAGGCTAGAGAAAGGAAACCAGCTTACTTATTTGCTGGTACAAGTATACTCACTTTCTCTACTTTCTGCAAATTAGGTTGTTCTTCGGTATTGTCATACCAGATATGTCTGTATATAGTCTGATTGACATGTGCTTTTATTTTAGTATATTCTCAGTGTAGTTTTATGACTTGTCAATGATCTTTATCTTTATGTTCCTGAAGATTACTAAACGAATTAAATTGTGTCCAACATATAGATTGTTTAGGTTAGGATGATTGAACGATGTGATGGAATCAGTCAATACTTGATGAGAATCCATAACGTATCCATGAAACACTATTAATCTTAAGATGAAGTGTTTCTTGACTATGATTGAAATAAAGGTTTGTATTGCATCTGGCGCTATATTCAAATTGCTCTGAGAATTATAACCAATTTCACCTTCTTTTAAATGGTGTTCACAGTTTTTGTTAATTATATTTAAACCGTGTATTCATTAACACCTTTTTGGTGCAACACAATAGAATTTTTACAATATGACACCATAGTCATATTAAAACGAGTTTTAATCTTCCTCTCTGAAGATGATTACTTGGTGATCGAAACACGTGTCGAGGTGTTAAAAATAACGATTTGGTGTTGGGAAAAAACTCCAGTAATATTCATCAATATAAATACCTAGAAACTTAACACTGTCTCCTAGAGTAACACTAGAGGATATCACAATATTCTGGTTTTTTTTATCGTTCAGTTTCAGTTTATTTGCTCTGAACCAAGTATTTGCTAAGTTTTTATTTCTGTCCATCATTTGAGGTAAACTGGTATGTGATTTGTCTGAGCATAAGAAGGTAGTGTTGTCAGCAAACAAAACACATTTTGTTGGTGAATTGAAGTTACATAAGTCATTCATATAAATGATGAATAATAACGGGCCGAGGACAGAACCCTGAGGAACGTCGTGACAAATTGGCTTTTAATCTGACTTGATATTGTTGACGTCGACGCACTGATACCTATTTTGAAGATAAGACCCTACCAGATCAGAGTATCAACGGTATACGAAGGATTCTGGTATATGAGAGCGTCAAATACATTGAAAATTACAATCTTTTCGTAAACACAAAAAGTACATTTGTTTTACTGGAGAGAAAACAGAAGAAGTCATTTTAATTCACGCAATAAGTATAATTTACTAATAACAGCACTGATTAGGACACAAGGGCTTCATCTTCAATTCTTTCCTAATTAAAGCACTCTTATATCAGATCGAATAATGACGTCATCATATTTTCCAGTGAAAATCGAAAATATCTCAGATAAACTGATTTAATCAGGTAAACTGTGCGTGTATGTGATATTTCAAAAGGTGCTTTTCATAGAAACTATTGAAAATTTCAATTGAAATTCAAAAGTAAAAACAAATTAATTTTATTAATGCGAGTGTTCCATTTTTTCATTACTCACCGTATATATACAACTATAAAAAGTCTTTTGAGATTTGTTATATCAAATCATACAACAACATTGAATGTTTAAAATGAATACTGCATTTTTCACTTTTCAACCGACTATGTACGCCTATGGAACAGCTACCTGAAAATGGTTTATTACTCCGCTGCTTAAGAAATAGACTATAATATCATTCAATACAAAACCTTTCTTCTCTACATGATTTTTTTTATATTCCAGATGATGTTGCCCCTATTGCTATCGCCATGGGAACACCAGGCGATAAGGCAAGCATCGAAAAGGTAGTGAAGAAAGAGACACAAAGCCCTCAAGAACAAGAATCGCCTCCACCGCCACCCCAACCTCCTCCTTTCGTCCTTCAACCACCCGACCTCCCGATCACTCATCCGATTCCAGGTACTTCCACAGCAGACATGGGTGTTATAGAAAGGCTACCGCAATTTGGAACCTTAGTGGGTAGCAGTCAGCCGTTTATCGGTGCTGCCCCCGATACCTTCAGTTTGGAACAAGCAACAATAGGTCAGCATACTTATGTTTTTCCTGTCTTCATATAAATCCATTTTTCATTCATCCTCACGATAAATAGAACCTTAGAGTTAGAACCGTAAAGTAATTATGCATAGGTTGTCTATATTTGGTTATACAAGAGAAATCTCATTGTTGCCTAATTGTTTCTTCAATAGAAAACTACTTCACGCAGACCAAGTATTACCCGGACTATCAACCATCTGCATATTCTGTACCTTCGAAACCGAAGACATTCCTCGGCAGTCTAGATCAACCTGGCCCATCTGGCTTGCAGACACCCAAGTCCAAACCGATTCCCGTAACCAGCTTGGTGAAGTTGAAAAAGACACGCAAACCATCCGAAGAACAAAGCAGCACGCCGCCAACGAAGAAATTGCATAAATGCAACTATTGCCAGAAAAGTTTCTCAAGTCTCGAGAAGTTAGGGAAGCATCAACAAACTCATACAGGTTAGTTTTAGCTTAACAATTTTATTTTCTCTCACCAGTTTTCATTGAGCTCAACTTTTAGTGTTGAATTGAATTTATATTTTACCTCTCAACATAACGTTTGCAGAATATAACAAAATTGTTCACGTAAGCTAGGTAACATAAGCTAAAATACAACATAAAAGTGAGTTATTGAGAACTTATAAGTTGGAATGAAATTGATACAAAATAAAAGTATTAGTTTTTGCTCGTAAGAGTATAAACAAAACTTCTATATAATTTCACATCTTCAATTCTGACTTTGTGCTGAAAAAAAGTCATCAATATCATACCAAGCTTTTTCAATTCAGTTTCCAGTATGAGAATACAAGTAACAGTAAGAATTTTTTCTCTCAAAAATAATGGTCTGCATGACTCACGCACTCCCACCTGCATAATTATCTAACCGCTCGCTTTTGCAAAACAAACACTGAATGAATGTATCATAAGTTTTCTCAAGAATTTTATGTGAAACACTCTCGAGAGATTGAGTTGAAAGACCTATAAAAAAGGCTGAAAAGCTGCAATTTTGGAACTTTGGAGGGCTGTTCCTCTGGAACAGTTTTCCGTTTCATTTTTTCTTTTGCCTTTATGATTTGTTGTCCTGCTTTAACAGTTTTATTCAAGATTTCATTTTTTCCTCTTCCAACAGTAGTATTACTAGCCACTGTTCGAAGTTATTGTGTTCTTTGGTAACTGCACTAAAGTAACTAAAGATTATAATGCACGAAATAGATACCACTTACTGATTCCGTAGTATAGTATGAATTAGGAAATACTAGTCTTCAATAAAATGAAAAAAGGATTGAGAAATACACTCTTGAATTCGAAGGAAGCTTGGTATGACACGAATGATTTTGAACTGTCCTCAGAGATTTTGAATTTCCTTGTGATTCACATTGTGAATGATTTATATGCCTTTTATTGTTACTATTTGCAGCTTATTCATTTTTTCTACAGGAACATCACCTTTCAAATGCGAGAATTGCAAAAAGGGATTCACCACCAAGTTCAAACTGGTACGCCATGCTCTCATTCACTCCGATCGTAAACCGTTTAGCTGTTCTGTATGTGACAGGACTTTCCATCGAAAAGACCACCTCAAGAATCACATAAAAGTGCACAGTCCCCAGAAGCAGGTGTATGTTTGTGATGGCTGCAAGAAGCAATACACTTCGTTACTAAGTTACAGGTAAATTTCATTACATAACCTATAACAATGATGAAACAAGGTCAAATGGAAGACTGTGTAAAATGAATACCTCACTAGTACGTAACAGTGCAATAATTTTAGGTTATTATAATAATAAAAATCACCAGTCATTAAGATCATGATAAAATGTTTCATTGAGAAACTGTCTTATTACCTCCTTGAAAGTTATTATGTCTAGTTAATAGATTCTGAAGTAGTATTTGAGGTTTGGAAAATGATTAATAAGGCTCTTTTTGAACTATACAGCTGCAGTCTGTTTTCAGTACCCATGTATTTATTTCATATGATACATTAGTTAATTGTCTAGAGATGCTAGATATTTCTATCGCATAGATTAGAAATCATAAGGGACTAAAATCACTTTACATTTTCTCGCGTACAAATTAATTGATGTGTCTGCTAAATATGATTTCAATACTAGTGCCCGTATTCCATAATCGTCAAGTTTGTTCAGTAGAATTTTATGGTTTTCCACAGTGAAACTAACTTCTTTTTGTCTATGTTTTCAGTGGTTTATGATATTGATCTGCAGCATTGGTCTAATCCTTGATTAATACTGTCTTGCATATTCCAAGCCCAGATTACTAAATAACGGGCGATTTTTAAGAGGTATAGGATTTGATTTTCAAAGCAACACAAAAAATTTGAAAAAACTGATGAAATCTTTATTGGAATCGATAGAACAATCAATAATTTGATGTTTGAAGATGATAGTGCAAATGTCCACGGCTCCGCTTTAGATGGCCCATACGCAAGGTCCAATTTTGGCACACTCTCTCTAACATATCGACCGGTATTTCACGTATAAATGCTTCAATATTGGCTTTCAGAGCGTCAGTCGTTGCTGATTTATCCCTGTAGACATGAGCCTCAACATGACCCCAACCGACCCATAATCCACACCAAACAGTGACTTTTTCAGGATACATTGGTAGCTCTTGCAATGCTTGTGGCTGGTCTTCACTCCAGATGCGACAATTTTGCTTGTTAACGTATCCAGTCAACCAGAAATGGGCCTCGTCGCTGAACACAATTTTTCGATAAAAATGTGGATCTTTCTCCAACTTTGCCAACGCCCATTCACCAAATGATAGACATTGTGGGAGGTCGTATGGCTTCAATTCTTGCACCAGGTGTATCTTATAAGGTCTTACACCCAAATCCCTTCTCAAAATTTTCCACTTTATCTAGTATCAGAGGGCCAATTGCTGCGAACGGCGGCGAATCGACATTTCACGGTCATCACGAACATTGGCGGATACAGCCGCAATATTTTCCTCGGTCCTCACTCTACGTAGCCGTGTTGGTGGTTTTATGTCCAATAATGTAAACTGGGTTCCAAATTTAGTCACAAGCTACCGAATAGCTCCCTCAGTAGGCCGACGAAACTGCCCATAAATTGGAAGAAGTGCACGATGCACTTTCTTCACCAAGCATGAATTTTGATAATAAAACTCATTAATTTGCAAGCGCTGTTCATTTGTAAGTCGATTCATGGTTAAATTATAGACCAAACTGAACAAGTTTCATAATGACACAAGACACGATTCACGCGTGATCTGTCAAAACAGTGTTGCCAAAAAGATACCAGCAAAAAAAATCACTCATTATATTATCTAAGTGGCTCTTTGGTTATGAGAACAAAAAAGTTGGGTTACTGTCAATGTTAGATTATTGTTACTCAGCTGAAAATTTACATTGAAACCTCCTGAAATCATAGCTCACTTACTATGAGCAGATAGTCTACATGAGTAGAGTTTACAAGAAAATCGATTCACAGAACGACTGTGTAGAATTCAAGAGGAAGCTGAACCAACTATCCAGTGGGTGCTTTGACAATGTTGCATTTTGCATAATGAATATTCAAAAAAAAATTAATAGATAATGAAGAAAATCGAAGACATTTGTGTAAAATATTATTATCTTCTCAGGAAACATCTTGCCGTTCATGCGGCTGAGGATGGTAATCTTACCTGCCAGATTTGTCAGGACAGTTTTGAAACTAAGGATGAGATTTTGTACCACCTTAAAATCCATGCTGGCAGTAGAACCGTCAAGAATCCGAACGAAAGGAAATTCACTTGCGATTATTGCGATGCAAAGTTTTATACCAAGAAGGACGTCAGGAGGCATTTAGTTGTACATACAGGTAATATTTTTTGTTGTACATACAGGTAATATTTTTTGAAGTTGCAATCATATAATACAGAATTAAAAGTATTGTCTCTGAAGTTACTGTTATGGCCCCACGTTGGGCGCCAAATATTTCTATACTGTATGGGATCTACCCTGTAAATAATTAATAGATTTTCATAATGAAAAAACCAATAGAAATCTTTCAATTCCATTCAAGGTAAGCGTGACTTTCTCTGCCAGTACTGCCCACAACGTTTCGGCAGAAAGGACCACTTAGTTAGGCACATCAAAAAATCCCACAGCACCAAGTACAAACCCGAAGAAACCGTCACCACTGCCACTATCAAAATCGAGTTAGACACATCGAACATCGAGACGACACCGATAAAAACAGAACTGTCGGAAAGCAGCCTGTCCCACGCTCCGGAAACGTACCCCACCAACTTGGACATTTTTGAAGACGATCTGACATCGCTATTGGAAGAGAACAGCCTGGGCCTTTGCTTAACCTCCGTATCGGAGGAGACCGAGCTGAAGGACTTAGGTAGCGCCATTTTGGAAGACATCGAAGGCCCCACGACCGAGGAGGTACTTGTGGGTGAAAATTTGGATGCTAGTCATGAGGTCCTCGGAGGTGTGGTCTTGAACGATCCGGAACTGCTACAAAGACTCCTGGAAGCTCCGGGCGATAAGAACTTGCCGCTTCCCGGGTTCAGTCAAACGTTTCAGTCTCCTCCTCCACCTCCAGGACCGCCGCAGTAACTTTTATTACTGATCCGAATATTTGTCATTTTTTTCATTTGTATGTTAACCTGATCATGGTTTTCACTTATGAAAATAGTGGTACTTTTTTCAATAATTTCGACTTTTTGGAATTTTCTGAAACTTAAAGTGGAAGGAAAAATTACAAAATGGTTGAAAATTCTGTATCATATAGCAGTCTTTTATCTATCTTGGAGATGATTTTACTTTCCCTTCTACAGAAGATATTTTTTCTCCCGATAGAATTTCCGTGGTTATTATTTTTTAATTTCAAACCATTTGTACTTTTCCAGGAAAAAAACATGTTTTATTGCTGTTTTGAAATAGATTATTTTTGTCAAACAAAAAACAAAGTATTATGAAGTTTTAAAGGATTGATTTTTTTAAATTCAATTACTTGAAAAATGAACAAAAATGCTATAACATTGCTTTTTATGAATCGAGAGTTCATAAAAATACTTATTTTATCAGAAAAAAAGATATGAAAGATAAATCACTTCAACCAAAAACAAATGCAACTTATATTCAAAGAATTTCATATATATTCTTTTGTTCTGAATATCGACAATGTGTATTAATGTACACATTTATAACAGTAAAATACGATTAGTTGTTTTTTCAAATCGACAGAATAATACAAAAAGAAACACAATCGCTTACTAGTTCAAAAATCAAAATTTTTTCTTGAAATATGTAAATTTCTTGATCAATGTCTTTTGCAATCCAAATTTGAGTTTAGAAAAATACTTCATGGTAGCACATTGATGAAAAACTGTAAAAGTACCAATAGTTTTCGAATCAACAGTCCAAGCTGACTTAAATGAAATATAACGTTTGAAACTTTCACATTCTTACACATAATGGTTATCAATTTTTGTATATTCTGAAAGTTTTCAGCGAAATTACTCTACATACTTAGTTTTGATGTTGTGTAAATTTTTAGACTTAAAAGTGCACATGATCACTTCATCTGTTCAGCAAACGGACTAAAATAGAGGGATATAATTCATGATGTCGAACATATCTATTTCAAACGAAAATATTCACTGCCATATTGCCTTTCTTTTCTTGAATATATCAACTTTCAGTAAGTTATACAATCAGAAATATTCAATGAAATGGATATTGTCAGAGTTTATCTGGCATTTTTCATGACAAAATCAGTATTAGTAAAACAATTTTTTCCTCCCACAAACATTCATTTCAATTGGAAGTAAGTCTAGTGTACAAATGGAAAAAATGATAATAATTTGAGATCAACCTGTATTCTGTTTTGTTCTGATAACAAAATTGTGGAAGGCAAAATATTGGCCTACGAAAACGAATTTAAAACAGGTTATTTTAATTTTATGGAAAAAAAACAATCAAGATCACATTTAAAGTTGTGAAAAACAAATGAGATTATTTCGGAAACTCTTTGAATTTGATCTGAAATCTAAAAATGAAATGTTTATTTCAAACACCAAAACTAGTACACGAAAACGTTTCTCTCGAACGTCTTTTCTCTTTCCAGCGAATCTTTCTCCACATTCCACCGTCGAACTATGAAAGTAAACGAATTTTTAGTAGAGATTTATTGAAAGTTTCGCTTGAATTAGAGAACAGAGGCCGGAAGCGACGTTGTGTAAAAAAAAAATCAAAAAAATTTTACCTAAAACCGTGGTGCTAAAATATGATTGTTAGCTTTTTTATTATATACGTATTCTCAAAGGTCATAGACACATAGTTACTGGCGACGAAATCTACCTGAAACTTGTCATTGAATATATTTTTGTTGATAATAATATAATTTTTAGAAGTAGTTAAAATCTAATTTGAAGTTGAAAAAAATTAAATCTATGACAATATTTTTGAAAAAAATAATAGAGATTGTTCTTTAATATATGTATATTGTGTATTAGGAATAATATCGAGAATTATTTCTAGTATTTCCATTGTTAAAACAAAGTGGGTTTTGAAACAATGTTTCTGGATCATTCAAAGATAATGTTTTATAAGTTTTTACTTGATCTAAAAGGCATGTCTCATTACTATTTAGTTTTCTCTGACCTACCTCTTATGCACATCATTACCTTCCCCCAATTTTTTTTTGAACACTTTAGAAGCCACATTCACACATTTTTTTCAGGGTCCATAGATTAGTGACAGTACAAAAAAGTAAAATGTTCATTCAATATTCTAAGTAAAACAATATTTGACAAAATTTCATTCTCAACAGTGTGCTATTTTTCTGTCAAATGTCCTGCGACTGTAATTTCCTCGATTTTCGAGAAAAACCTTGTCTAGAAAATGTTTAATGTTACTGTGGATGGTTGTTGAAGAAGTTATGATGTGTTTACCAGGTAGGTCAGAGAGACCTCAATTGCAATAAAGCGGACTTTTTAGTAATGTCACAATAAATAACTCTCTCAAAGAGACAGTTTCGGAAAATTATATTGGCTGATCCAAAAATAGGAACATTGTCAAAAATTTGAGTCTAGGAATTACTAGTCAAACAAGTACCTCCATCAAAAAATGGGAAAATTTTCATTCTGTGATTTTTAATAAAGGGTTACCAAAATTTGCAGTTATTTGCTGATCAGGCATAATTCCAAATGATAAAATTAGGTCTTGTCTTACGACCTAAAACCAATTTTTAGAGGAACCAGTTATCTTCCAATATATTTATATAATATTTAGATATATGTTACGTTTTGTTATTGTTTATTAGATTGTTATTATTGATAAATATTAGTTTGATACTGTTATATCTTTAAACATATCTTACTTGGGAGACTCATTGAGCCATTAATGAAGTCGTCAGTAACAACCAATGTGTGTCTAATATCTTTGATATCGAGCTGCAGTTTGCTTTGGGTTTCTCGTATCGAATGAATTTGTGATTGTAATATAAGGTTGGTAGTTCGGTATTCGAGAAACCCGGAGGTTATCGCAGCTTGCTAGATGTTATTTGTTAATTTTAAATAGTTAAAGTATCGAAAACTCACACAACTTAAAAGTAATCGAGTACAAAACCATGAGACATGAAACATTTTGCTGTTTTATTATTTATTATTTATTTTCTTGGAGGATTTTGAAATGGCAAAGTGTCCGATAATATTCAGAATACATCAACGAGAGGTGGTTTTATAGCTGTTTGCAGTAAGTAGCACTGAAAAAACTCAATGATAATAATCATTCAAGATTAGAAACAAAGAGAAGAATTGTTCTTACAAATCATTCAAAATTTTAGTTTGTAGTATTTATACATACTATCTTTTGAATGGGTAGTAGAATTAGTAGCATCTTGACTCATATTTAAAATGTGGAAAACTCATAAGCCAAATTTGCCTTATTCATTTTCAAAATCCACTTCTCAACGAGAGAACACTATAATAATTTTCCTTGTTGTTTTGATTTAAAGTTGATTACATTCTCAATATATTGAAATGAGCCTTTAAATGACAATAACTACACCATAACCAGGTTTTGCGAAATCAATCAAGTCATCAAACTCGTTGGTGTATTTTGTTCTCTACTCCGTAACTAAATAATTAATCTACCTCATTTTGCAACATTTCATGCTGTACAATCAGCTAGTCATAGTTTTTAAGAAATACATTAATGAGTTTTTTATGTATTGTAAACTAGAAGGAAGTAATATATTTTACCAACAGTTGTGTATATAAAATATTTAAGTATATTTCAAACATATGTACAGACTATATTTTTATACAAATTATAGTATTATTTATATTACAGAAGTTGGTTTCATTGTATCATATTTTATACATGTGGTAGATGTTATGGAGACCTAAGATGAAGACCACTGTTCTCAACTTTGGACCCTAAAAGTAACAAGTTCCTCAAATCTTGAGCAAAGCAGTCATGTTGACACCATCAACAAGTATATGTTTAAGATTGTGGAATGGTACTCAACAGCCCTATAGAGTGCACATTCATGGAGTTTTATTTTCGATTTGGCATCGCATTTTTGGGAGTATGTATCAAAAAAACTATACTCTGTTAATCTAAGCAACAGACTGCTCCAAAACATTATCATCCATGTGCACGTGATCTCCCAGACAAGGCTGCTTGTATAGAGACGCACTAAGAAACAACCGATTTTTTTTAATATGAGGCTGGGTATGGAAACATTTTTTAGATAGAGTTGGCACCCCATTGGCAGTTTCTTCAGCTATTGGCGGTTTACTCCACTTCTGTATCTAAATAATTTTATTATGCGATCAATTTCAACCTGTACCTTAATGATAGTTTCTGCTATAATGATGGTACAAAATTTCCAGAAAATAGAAACTCAAGTCATTATATTCTACAGATGCTTAAGTAGTCGATTTTTATTCAGCTACATTTTAGGGGGTCATATTTCATTCAAGACAAAAGTCTAACAGAAAAATGTTCAATTTGTTTTTGAAATAAAACTTTGTATTGAGTTAACTACATATTATTAGTTATTACTTTAAGCAATAATTCAATTACACAAGTTTAGAATTATGCTAGTGTGTAGGTTAAGGACATACTATAAATATACTAAAATATTTAATAAATACTTCACTACAATAAATTAACAAAAAGTTCACAAAGGAGTAAGTATATCATTTTAACTACTAAACATTTATGAATCTGGAAGAAACTAATCCCTCAATCTGTAGGATTTTGCACTACTATTAAAATAAATTCCTTATCTGGTGCCACCATAATTTCATGCTTCTTAGACCTTATCCTCAGAAATGTTAGATCATTAGAAGGATCCAGATCTCTTACAACACTCCTCGCTTTGTCAGACAGAGAACTTATCAAACCTGCATATTGAACTGTGGTCGTATTATCTAAAGTTGTTTTAATTGGAATTCCTGAAATTATCAAATGAATGAGTCAAGTGTGTCAGCAACAAAAGAAAAGTTTTTAACCTTCAGAATTCACAACTATTGTTCCTACTACCCCCTTGTGTGATTGAATTCGTTTCATAGTTTCTTCTACTTCGTTCGACTGAAAAATATAATGCGATAATTTATATAATTATAAATGTAACATTTACTAACCATTTTGATTTATTCAATGAAAAAAAATTCTACAAGGAAAACGAAGCAAAACGTCAACTTAACCGTTGCCTTAGTGACAGTGACAAAAGTGACAGGTGTCTGAATGACAGATGACAGATCAATCATTTCTCAGACGTCAACGACGTCAATACTTTTATGCATTCACACTTGAACATAAAAGTGGATACTGTTCATACCCATATTTTTCCTAAATGCGTGGTATCGGACGTACGATAAAAAATATCATTGATAATATACATTTCTGACCCAGTTCCAACCAAGATAACTGGTGATTTTATAAGAATGAAAAGTTATTTCATGAATGATTTGTATTCTTCAGGTTTAGTTACATATGAATGAAATTCTGAAGGACTAAAATAATGATTCTCATCAGATAACAGATTATGCTGATGATATTAATTGGTTAATATCAGACAAACATTTTCCAGATTCAATAATTAAATCGAATGAGTTGATAGATGATGCAAAAAAATAATTCAATATCAAATATAGAAAATATTCACTTTAGAAGTATCTTTGAATTGGAATACAAACGAAACTGCCGTGGCATCTTTAGAAAAACGGCATTTTGACAAACTCAGGTTTATAAATTTATGAATGTATTGTTTACTTTCAATAAACATTTATAATTCGAAGTGGGAAGCGAGAATCATAACTATCCTACCCGCAGTGGTGATATAATTTATCAAACAGAGAAAAGTATTTATGATGCACTGTTTTGGAACCTTTGGTGTAGTAATGAATATTACTGGAGTTTTTTTCCCAACACCAAATCGTTATTTTTAACACCTCGACACGTATTTCGATCACCAAGTGATCATCTTCAAAGAGGAAGTTTTCATCTTTCTCTTTGAAGATCACTTGGGGATCGAAACACGTGTCGAGGTGTTAAAAATAACGATTTGGTGTTGGGTAAAAACTCCAGTAATATTCAGAGAAAAGTATTGACAGAAAAACATTCGTGTTATGCGGCAATTAGATAAATCAATAAATTACCAAACAAAACAAATGCTTAAGCAGTTTCATTAAATTCAGAAAGCACAAAGAGAAATTCCTTATGAATAAGGAATCATATTAATTAGAGGAGTATTTCTGTTAAGTAGTATATCTCCGTTGTGACACACTTTTATATTTAGTATGTCTTATAACACGTGAAGTATTTTTGTGAATTAAATATTATTATTTAGTGTATCTATGATGTAGGCTGGATTGAGTGTGGTTTGATTTCAGTGAGAGTAAAACTATAAAACTTATAGTTCAGAGACATTTTTCAAAAATGACCTGTTCATTAGTTACGAACTGTCAAGTGACATGTACTATAAATATAGTGTTGTTATCTCCAACCGATAATCTGAGAAGTTGATCGTTATGTTGGCAACATCAAAATGTGGCTCAAATATTCGGAAAGTAAACATTGAATATTAACTATTTAAAAATTCAACTTCTTCCAAGCGATATGAATCAAAATAAAGATCTTATTTCTAAAATTGGACTTCGTTTAGATGGAAGAAGAGCAAATGAACTAAGAAGAGTCCGATGTAAATTGGGAGTTTTTACGGAACCGGATGGAAGTGCTTATTTGGAACAAGGGCTCACGAAAGTATTGGCGGCTGTATATGGCCCTCATCAGGTATGTTCTGATGAATGAAAGATCTAATGTTTTGAATTATCGATTCTAATGTTTTCTATGTATTCCCAAAGTTTGTGATATTAACTTTTTTTTCTGAATATAATACGTCAAGAGTCATGATTACACTATGCCAAGAAATGCATTCAAAAACCTACTTCTATTCTCTTTTATTCTTTTGAAGAAAGTTTTCCCCGTTTGACCAACGTAAACTGAATAGATCTGGAGTGTACAAGTTGATTCTTGTCACAAACTTATATTGGTCAAACATAAAAAACTTTCTCCGCTAGAATGAAAGAACATATTAAGTTTTTTGGCAGAGGGACATGAATTCACTCATCACTAGGGCATATTGCATTTGGATAAGAAATGATGAATATTCAATCTTTTGGAATACTCAGAAAGCAGTAGACTCTTGTTTAACTGAGATGAGAGAAAGGGAGTTGGTATTGGACTTATCCGTTTGCCACAGAAGTATCAATGGGTTCAAGGAAATTGAAGAATTTGTATTTGTTCAATTTGTTTTTAATAAAGAGTAGTTGTTGTCTACTGAAACATGAAATCTCAGAGTATAGTGTATCAAATACGTTTATCAAGGTTTTTCATCAAATATCGGTTAATTCCATGACATATTTATTACTCCCTTCCAGGTTCGTGGTGGTAGATCTAAGGCCCAACATGATGCAGCAGTTATAAATTGTCAATTTAGTATGGCCGTTTTTTCTACCACAGATAGAAAGAGAAGACCCAGGGGAGACAGAAAATCAAGTGAATTATCCATGCACTTGCAACAAGCTTTGGAAGCTGTTATCAAAAGTGAATTGTACCCTTGGTCACAAATTGATGTATATGTTGAAGTTCTACATGCCGACGGAGGTAATGAAACAAATAATGTTTGAATTTAAGTTATACTTTACTACTCTTTTCAGGTATTTATCCTGCGTGCGTGAATGCCGCTACTTTAGCCTTGATAGATGCCGGTATTCCAATTAAAGAGTATGTGTGTGCCTGCACAGCAAGCTTAGCTAATAATGATACACCAATGTTAGATATTTCTCATCAAGAAGAAATTATGGGAGGCCCAACTCTAACAGTGGTTGCTTTGCCCATGTCTGGAAAGATTGTGCTTATGGAAGAGGCTCAGAGATTTCATCTGGATCACCTGAATAAAGTCTCGAAAAAAGCACTACAAGGTTGTAGAGATATCTGGCAGATTTTAGATGAAGCTGTAAGATTGCATGTGAGAGATATTGGCAGTTCCTCAGGTTGGGCAAACACTAGTTGATACATCTTTTTTATATTATTATTTACAATTTTGTTATGTATATGTTCAAAACTGTAGTAATAAAAAATACTAATACTCTTTGAATGTTTTGATTACATTAAAAAGACCCAGTTATAATCAATGTTTCAATTTTTTTGTATGTTTTTATTAATATAAAAACATTGGCATTCACGGACACAGTCATTATTAAAGAGAATAAAATCTAGGCTGGTAGGACGTGGATGTGATCAAAAGTTTCGTCTGCAACTGAGGCAGACATCATCAGTGGAATGTGTGTTGACCGCAAGGACAAAAATTATATCCTGAAGTCTCGGTAACGACTGACTCAGTTTACAAAACCACCACAAGTGTTTCCCTCTTTGTCCTTAATCATTTCTTTCAATAATGATACTTCTTTTAAGTTGGCAATTTTATAAAATCATTTTTAAAAACACTATTTTCATCAGTTAGTAATAATGCATTCACTTATTCTTCAGTGTAATTTATTATCACTTATTCAAAATCGATTTGCAGTATGCATAGCCAACCTGACTCCTGTGGCTGCAAATGGATGTCCAATAGACAAAGAACCTCCCCAGTTATTGAATTTGTTTATATCTGGTACACCAAATTTGCCAGGCCTCTTCATGTAATTCTTTGCAAACCAGTCGCTGTCCATTGCTTTGAAGTTGGCCAGAATTTGACCCTGAATATGTAATAAAATTAAAATCTTGGCATTGAAAATATTTGTCGAATCTTTTCACTTACAGCAAATGCTTCATGAAACTCCCAAACATCAACATCTTTGATCGTCAGTCCAGCCTTGTCTAAAACTTGGGGAGTTGCATAAGCTGGACCTAAAAGTAGCTGATCGATTGGATCCTGTGATACAAACAGGAAGTTTCGTAGGTAGGCTTTGGGTTTCAGACCAAGCTGTTTGGCCTTCTCTTCAGTAGTAATCAGACAAGCTGAAGCTCCATCAGTCTGAAAATATTTGCCATATGAAGTAAACACACTAGTTCTTTCTCACAATATTCCAATTTCAAGTATAAATCTTCTGTTTTCAACAAAAAGAGACGATAAATCAACTTGCAGATAGCCAGGTTTGATGAACCTAAGTATAACATCGATACAGACCTGGGAATGCCATAAAGAACTCAATTGGACACTCAGAAATCATAGAGAATGAAAAAGCTAATGAGTGTACGACTCACGGATCACGAGTTCTACATTTTGGCCTGAACCAACTGGGAAGTACCAAAATCTATGGTAAAGGAAAAAATCAGGGAATGGGTCTACAAGAAATATGAAGAGTACTGGAAAAATACACGGAAAATCTTCACGGAACTTCCAAAAAAAAAACTAAAGAACTATACTATTTTACTTCAAGTTTAACAATTGAACCTAGTGCAACAGTTAGGAGTTTGGACCTTTATATTGACATTAATCTTAACTCCACATTAATCAAGGATTCTTTTCATAATGGTGTCAAAATACAACCATTTGCCTGAATACCTCAAAGAAGCAAACGATTTTTAATTTCCAGACTTTATCATAGTTACCATGAATTCAACAAAAATTCTGGTCTGAAATTTGTTGTATAAGTTGTGTATAGAGTATGTTTGTCCATGTTTATGTGTGTATTTATATGCTTACATTCATAGATTAACTTTTGTCTGTTTCTATACATTTATACCTATTTTTAATGTACCTAAAAACTATTGTTATCAATGTAAATTTTATATTTATGTATGTTCTTCTATGTGGAGGTTTGTCAACATTTTTGTAATTTACTGTAATTTTAGAGACCTGATAATGTATGCATCAAGGAACAATTCATAAGGATCACGTAACAAATCGAAGAAAAATTATCTTGAAAACAAATTGAAAAATATTCAAGCTGGATCAGCAGAAAATTTCGGTAGGAATATTAAGAAGTCAAAACTTGAAAACTCCATTTTGACCATCCTGTATAAACATCCAACAAAGGACCCGTACAAATTAGTATAGGAAACAAGAATGTTGTAATGGGTATCATATATCTTTAAACAATGTAGGATCTGAAAGAAAACAATTATTTTTTTTTACCAAAAATGAGGAGTTTGCAGCAGTAACAGTTCCGTGAGGTTTGATGAAAGCAGGCTTCAGTGCTGCGAGTTTCTCAGGGGTGGAGACACGAATTCCATTATCTCTGTCCACTGTTTTGGCAACTCCAGGAACTTGGAAGGGTATCAGATCCGTGAGATACCCCTTTTCATATGCCTGTTGAGCCATGGTATGGGAACGGAGAGCAAACTCATCTTGTTCTTGTCTGGTTGCTCCAAAAGCAGCAGCTAACCTGAAATGAAGGTATTGTGAACTGGAACATTTGAATTTGAAGATAAAAATCGTACCTGTCAGCTGAATGCCCCATCACTTCACCTGAGGAGAACTCGGCAATGGGTGGCAGATCAGGTGCAAAGTAATTAGGTCTAATACTGGTCAGCAGTGCTAGTTTCTGTTGAAATGTTTTTGCCCTGTTAGCTCTCAACATGAGGCTACGCATCTTTCTATTGTGTCTGATTGGAATGTCAGACATGAATTCTACCCCGCCACATACTATCATATCATAGATGCCACTATTGATCAGGCCAACAGCTGTAAATACAGAAATTTGTCAGTCATACCAATTTTGCAAGCCTGCACCTATATTGAAATTATTGAATAATAAAGATCTTTGCTATCCCCTATTATATTTTCAAGAAATATCAGAATAGTGTAAATTGTAATGGTTGAAATTTCACAAATTTGAGTTTTAATATTGAAGGTTTGATAATATTAATTTTTGTCTGAAGGTGTCAGTATAGTATTTTTGTACATTCTCCACTTCAATATACTATTCAAGAAACTCATTTCTGACAATTTTGTGAAAAATCATCTTGAACATGTTTCAGTATTGTTCCACCTTTTCGCACCATCTTAGTAAAGATATAAAGTCTCATGATGATGATTGATCAAAATATTTGCATATAATACCCACATCTCTCACTGTGATTTTTCAAGCAAAAATGCTCATTTCATAAAAACCAACCTTCCTCTAGATCATGAAAAAATGTTGTTTTGTTTGTATTGTATTTGGAATAAATGAATATTAGTTATATAGGTCTACAATGTTCACATAGAACATGAATACTTGCTCGTACCTGATGCCATGGCGACATTTGATGAAATGCAGGCTAATGTTACTGTGTGCGAAGGTGTTTTATCGCTGTAACCTGCTGCAAGGGCTGCTTCTCTAGCAACGTTCGAGGTTTTAACTTCTTGTATAACTGTTCCATAAATGACATAGTCGATGAGCTCTTTGGAAACACCAGTTTTTTTGAGAATACCACTGAAATATAAAAATATATTTTGAATATATTGCAAAACTGAATGAAAAACATTTGCTCAATTCAATCTAATTGTTCAAGATGAAAAGATACTTTGAAGCCCTGACTGATAGAAGCGTTTTGTGATGATTTGGAAAGGAAATATGTTTATGACTGTTTACCTAAGAGCTTGTTTGGCTAATTCGTGGGGCATTAGGTTGGCATAGTCAGTCCCAGACATCAAGAACGGTGTCCGAACTCCATCAACAAGAACAACATTTTGACCAAATTTTGGAGTCAAAGTCTTTTTTTGATTGATTTGAGTTCCAGTAAAAATAGTTCTCAGCGCACCTGCAATAAAATATAAAAGTAATAAAAAATTAGAAGTTAATTTTATTAGTTGAAGGCCTATAGGTTCCAATCATTTTTTCGATTTAAATTAATAGAAAATGTAAGTACAACTTTTATATCTGAATATGATTTTACTTACTCTGTTGGAAGATACTTGAAACAAATGGACTTTTGATAACATTTCTTGAATATAAGGCCATTTTAAAATATCAAGAAATTAATTGAAAATGCCGAAAAAAGAACTGGACAATAAATAAATGATATGAAAAGAAAACAGAACTTCGGAACTAGATCATAGACATTAAAAATATTAATTGAAAACTGAACTTCGGACTTTGATCTTTGACTCTGACCAACTTTTGAACCACAGAACACTGAAATTCTAAAATAAGTCAGTTTCTGTCATGTGTGTTTGAACTATAAAACTATAAAGAATACACTGATTGTAATTTTTGCCATATATTCTAGCTCTGCTTCAAAACTATCAGTCCTCTCATATTTCTCTATACATCGGACGTTGAAAATAATTTTGGATTCAGCAAATTCTAAATTCACCCCCCAATTAACAGAAATTATCACTGGTTTTTGAACTTGATAGAAAAATTGTTTTTCAAAATTAATCACTCATTCATGGTCTTTCAGGTAACCGCTGTCAAAATATCGGGTTCACATTCAATTACTTTCGGATCTTACTCCAAATGGTAGTTTAAAATACTGAATAATTATATTAAAGACTCATTGACGAGTCTGTCAGTTTGGTTACAACGCCTTGCAACCAACTATAGCTAAACGTGCCCATCGCAGAGCCAATCTTTCCGTTAGACCACGTCTATATTACCAGTTCCCAAATGAATACAATGAAAACGACATTCGAAGAGCAAATAAAACTCAAAAATGGATAATACTAACATCATCTACATATGACAACTGACACTGATAAAATTAGAAATATATTCGCTTTTAAAATTGGTAATTTCTACGTCAATAATAATAGCACCTTAATCCAATCGGAAACTACTCTAGCGGGATAATTTCTAAATAGTCGAAGATAATTATTATATGACAACTGAGCTATGGCAACACCGTACTGATACTAAAAACCAATTGTCAATCCCAACAAAAACAGACTAAAAACAAATACCCAGTATAAATTTTTTTGTAATTCCGATAAAAAAATGGACAATGAGAACTCTGTAATATACGGTTTAGAATTTCAAGTAATATTTAATACTCTAAATCCGCATTCCACTTTTAATACTTTAATGTGTTTCTAGGCTAGAGCCCTTGCACCCCAACTAGCTGAAATAGAAAAAATAAAATTCATAATTGGAACACAGTCTTTAAAACAAGCAAATAACCAGGTTCATTTAATAGAGTTCAATGAAGAAATATCTACAATTAAAACTTCAGTAAATTGTCTCATATTCAGTAGAAGTTTGTAAAGACCAATGTTTTCTTCAGGTTTTTCATCATTGTGAAGGGGAAATTTGGAAGATTACCACTAGCCCTATCGACCCTCTTAAATTAGCAACATGTTACAATTCCATCACCAGTGAAAGTAATTGTATAATGAAAACAGCTATTCGGAAACTACCAGAAACTGAAAACCCTGAAAATATTGAAAATTTAGAAATCATAACCAAGCTTGACACTACAAACTTTGGGAATGATATCAAAACCACAGAGTTTCATCCAAATGAAAGTGAAACAGCTGTAACGTTAACAGACACCCAGGTTGTTCTTTGGGATGTATCTCAAACAGAGGGTAGAAGTGTAATCAATATTTCCTTAGAAGGTAAAAATAGTCCAAAGTTTACTAACGGCAAATGGAATCCTCATCAAAACTGCAGTCAGGTAAAACTCCCATCTTTCCAAACAATCTATAATTAGTTATTTTCCACCAGACATTTGCTAGATCTTTTTGTTTAGAGTTGTAGGAAGAGTTGAGTGTTTTGAGTCTTATTCAAAATATATATTTTCTTAAATCTTTTGTAGTTCACTACAGCAACTGAGACACATTTAAAAACATATGATATAAGATCAGGAGACTTAGCATGGAGTATAGACAATGCCCACAGCCAGTTAATACGAGATATAGATTACAATATGAATAAACAATATCATCTTGCCACCTGTGGAGATGATGCCTTTCTGAAAATTTGGGATTTCAGACAGACCAGCATGCCAGTATTTTCCAGAAGTGACCATTCCCACTGGTATGCAAAATTCAATTGTTTGTGTATCTGTTTACATTAATCAATATTTTCAGGATATGGTGCGTTAGATTCAACCATTTCCATGATCAACTGATTCTCACATCCAGCTCAGATGCCAGGGTTCTCTTATCAAGTGCCGCTAGTGTCAGTTCAGAAAACACAAATGAAAGTTGCATATCAGATGATAGTGATGGACTTGAAACTAAACAAATGTAATTAATATATAGAATACCTTTAATATTTTTCATCAAATATTGATGAGCTAAAAAAACAAGAAATGAAGATATCTAAAGAAAAACTACATTATTGTAGCCATCGCTCTCCGGGCTGGTGAGCTGTGGTTGAATGGAACCTAAAGTACTAAACGTTTTGTCTTTTACTGCGGCAGACATCATCAGTGATATGTGCATTGTCAGTCAGACTTTGCTGAGACTTCGAAATATAACCATTGTCCTCGCAGTCAACACATATACCTTTAATGATGTCTGCTACAGAAACGTGACTGGAGCCACGAAAGACTATGTTTTCATATTACACTGTACACTTATTTTAATTATATTGATTTGACCCTATATATTTTTCAAATTGAGACTTTCCAGTATACATAGCAGAAAATACTTTGTCTTACATTAACTGTCAAAAATGGAGATGAAAGCATTATTATTATTCTCATTCTAGGTTGAAGGATGGCCCCCTTCAATGGTGTGAGCATGAAGATAGTGTATATTGTGCTGAATGGTCGCCTGCCGAACCTTGGGTATTTGCATCTCTCAGCTACGATGGGAGGCTGCTTATATCTCATGTTAAAAAATCTTTAAAATATCAGATCATGTTATGAATTGTATTACTGAGATGCAAGATGTTTATATTCAACAGACAGTTATAATTATTCCAAATAAAAATATTTGAAAATGAAAAATGTTTAATATAACTCCAAGAGATAAGCTTGAAAAGTAAACTAGAAGGGAAAATTGGAGATGAATAATAGGATAGGGACGGTCTTGTATGTGGTTTGAAATGAGTGACTGAATTTTTTGTCCAACGATTCGTCGTCCCCATATGAATGGCAACCATAAAAGTCAAAACGTGTATGAGCTAACGATTGACTTCTTACTTTTCAACATGTGATTTTTATATGGCTGCAATTTCGGGCATGTCATGGAAGTTGATACGATTCAACAGTTGACTGGAACTTAATACATCTAGCTTTCAATGGTCTGGGAAATATGCCAATTATGAAAATCCACAATTGAAATTAACATAAAGGAGCTAGCTAAAACCAGTACAAGATAAGTGTATAGAAAATGCGATTCATATAGAGAATAACATCTGAAACCTCAGCTTTACGTTAAAAAAATTACTTGGGATATTTCTGGAACAAAATTTAAAATCTGGTAACAGATAGAATATATGAGTGACAGTCGGAATTGAAAAATAATCTTTTCTTACTAAACGTCCTGGATTAAAAAATATTGAAAACATTCTTTATTCATCATGGTACAAAATTTTGATAATAACTGGTGTAAAGAGTAAAACATTATGGATCAATAAATAGATAACAGAATGGAATTCCAGAGAAAGAAAACATTGAATTGCTTTAGTATTAGAAGTAAAAATCGCTTGAAAACAATTAATTTATTAACTAATCACCAGAACTTTGCAGAGTCTTGATCACATGCCTAACTAGAGATTTTTGAACAAGAGGCACAATTTCTTCACATCCCTTCTCAAGAACTCCAATGACCTCGTTCAACTTATCCAAAGAAATGCTTCCTGACTGGTGAAACTGAGATATTTGTTTATGTGTATGTAGCATGGATACAACAACCACCCCATGTTCCTTATTTTCTTTATTCTCAAATATTGGAACCTCACACAGGTTTTGTTCTACTGATGTTGGGTCTAACAACGTGACATTATTCTGGATACCCACCGTTACTGATGTGATCATGTCATACATCGGTACTCCTGCATGAGATAATGCTAGGCCAGCAGCTGTTATGGCAGCACTCAGACAAGATCCGTCATTCTGAAGAACTAGAGCATAAATATCAACTTGGAAATTTGGGAATTCATGTCGACAGACTGTAGATTCTAGAGCTTGCTTCATTAGAGCACTGTATTGTTTTTCTTCAGCATCTTGCTGGTGCAGGCGGCGTTTAGTGCAGCCGAAAGGTGCAAATTTGAATTCGCAATATATTTCGCCTTTCAGAGAATAATCTTGTCTGTTAGGAATCTCTCGTGGATCGTATACTGAAACTATTACCTTGGTTTTATCCAGTTCAATATATGCAGAACCCTTAGCTTGAGTGACAATGCCAGATTTCAGGACTGAAAACAATTAGATATTAGTTTTCCTCGGCAACTTCTTCGGAAACTCACAAATTTTTCGGTGCTCCAGCGGAGCCCTTGAATCATTTCGTTTTCCATCTTTCAAAATTTCTTTGAATTTTTTGGAGAGAGACTTTGTGTTTAATTTTGAAAACAATTGGTATGGCACCGTATCTTCCGGACCGTTTATTCTCTTGTGGTCTATTGGCATTTTTCGAAAATACAAAAAGAAAAATAAACGGAAACTAACCTTACATAACCTTACTCCTTACAATAAAGTAGTTACGTTTTGTTGGCATCAATATTGAGTCTTGAGTCATTCCCGCCAAAAGTTATTCGTTAGCACTGCTCTTTCAATCCAGCAGAGATAACGAACAACTTTAATATGATTGGGAACCCTTTTTGTCAAAAATTCAATTTTTGTGTTATTTTCGAATTTTCATTGGTAGTTTTAGTAAAACGTCAAAAAAAGTTGCCATTCATATAGTACCAAATGCCTACTCTTTTTCCAAGTGAAATACTGTCCATTTGCATAGTCATGAGTTCAAATGTTCTCATGAAATAAATATATCAATGAGATTAATGGAAGAGGATAGTTAACATTCCAAATAGATGTAAAGCGAAAGGGTCTGATTAAATCGTTAACGAGCAAGCGCATTGAGAATCGCCCCGAAGTTTCCATAACACATTTTTTCTTCAATTTAAAGTATCTATATTATAATTGGTTCTTGCCGTTTATTTATTTAATTATACAATACTTCGTAGAGTATACCTGTACCGATTTTCTATGATACAAGGGTATCATAGAAAGGATATCATAAAATGATTCTATAACATAGAATAGAAAACTTTTGTATTTGATGGATGTCACTTTTCAAAGTCAAAAGTGTCAAATATCAGGGTAGAATCTGTCAAGATATTTCGATATTTGTTACCTAATACTTTTGTGTAACAACTTCGGAGAGTAGTTTTTATCATCCGAAATGGCTGTTAGTTTTGTACAAAAACGATTCATGTCCAGCGCTTTAAAAAAATGGGCTTACAACCTTTCCGGTTTCAACAAGTACGGACTATGGAGGGACGATGTCCGTTATGTTGATGAAGATGTCAGTGAAGCGCTAAAGAGAGTTCCCCAGAGCGTGATAGATGAAAGAAACTATCGTATTTTACGAGCTACGCAATTATCAATCCAGAAGGATATTTTACCCAAAGACCAGTGGACTAAACTCGAAGATGATAAGTTATATCTTACTCCCTTCGTTGAAGAAGTAAGAAAGGAAAAGGAAGAAAAAGAAGAATGGAATAAAAACTTCTGAATTTGCAGTTCTGTAGGGTTTTGTGTATAAATTTCTTGTAATAAATTATGTAGGTAACTCCTTTCATTATTCATTGGTTGCTCCCCTATTTAGCAGTAAGGTAGCAGTATTAGAACATAAGCCAGCAAAAATTAATCTAAAACATGTTCACCTGAACATCGCTGCGTCTAATGATATCATCAGTGATTTGAACAAATTTTTCAGTTTTAAAAATAATGTTTTTTCGTCTTGTAATCAGGAAATTCATGAAGTATTTTTAGTCTATTGTAATTGGTTCAGAAAAACCGGTCATGCTAATGAAACATTAATTTTGTATTTTTTTCAGTTTAAGTAACTTATCGTTGTAGTCATTTTGCCTCAATCACATCATATTTTTAAATCTGCTTAAATCAACTAATTCGACAAACTCAAATCATCTGTTAAACTGATCTATTCATAAGAGATTCTCATAATTTGAGATTAACAGTTAAAGGGAACTATCAGTCTATTGAATATAAGCATTTTGAAATGTACTTGGCTGTAAAATATATCTTTCAAAAATAGTTTTCATTCACCATTACAACTTTTAAATAAATAACCAGCAGGACAGTAGCCAGTTGGGTTTGCTCCACTTATTTAATTGATTGGCAAGCGGAACTGTGGTTCAAGCTGCGAGGCCAGACAATCGATTTTCTGTGCCTATCGTCCAACCCGAGCTAAGAATCGCACGTTAAAGTGTAAGATCTCGTTAATCCTTAGTTCGCATAAGTTTTGACTTTCGAGGATTTTATTTCATGTTTACTACTTCATTGGCTGATATCCGAAGATGACTTTTCTATACAAATTTTCCAGCTATATATGAAAGAAATTTCCAATATAGTGAATAATTACTATATTGATCCTAGTAAGTATAAGACATCTAGACAAGTTATTCCTGTATCATAAAAATTCTGTTTAACGGGACCAAAATCTCGACTCATTTTGTTATAAAAAGGTTATATAGTCTATACCTATTACACAACCCTCAAAAAAAATCACAAGACAACCCTTTTGAAAATTTCAATGATGAATTAATGACACTGATATTTCACTTGTTACTTCCTGTACAATATTAAACTTTGAGTGTATAAGAACTCGAGGAATAAAAATATATCGAGACCTGATGTGAGCACTAATGTGAGATGTGACAGTATACAAAACCTCGACACGTGCTTCGTCATAGCATCTTCAGGCCACACAATACTCTATTGAAGATGCTATTGTATGGCGAAACACGTGTCACAGTTTTGTAAAATTTCAAGAGTATTGTTACCCCTGAAAATGCTTGTGTATAAACACGTGTCGCCATTTTGTAAACTATTAAGTGGAAACTAACCTCACATTAGAGTGTATTTTTGAATATCAATAAAATGTAGAAACATTTTGTTCAACAGCAATCAATATTCCACAACTGATTATCAAACTTTGAAAACTCTGACCCCTTATTTGATGAAAATTGAATGATAATACTTATTATGAATGGTAGGCAATTATGTTTTTGTTAAATGCCAATTAAAGAAAATATTAACTAGTTAACAAACTTTCTATTTGAAATAAGTACCTTGTGGGGGTTTTTACACCACATTTAACCTGATATAGTTATTAAAGTTACATAAATAATGGGAAAATTAACTTTTAAATTTTGTTTTAATATTACCACTTGAAGCTTTAATAACTTAGAAGTTATTAAAGCTTAAAATCCTTTTTGTGAACAAGTCTTAATATTAAAACATTGAAAATAAAGGAAAACTAGTTGCATCAATAAAAAAAAAATCAATTTTGTATATAAATTTAACGTTTATTGTATCAAAAAGATCACTTTGAAAATAACTTTTCCACCTAAAGCTACTATACATAGGGAAAATTTTAAAGTAATGGTTGAAACTAAAATGGCTCAGAAACCAAGGCACTTGAATAAATAAAAATTACAGACTATCAATTCTCATCTTCCTCAATCTTAGGTGCCAAATAAAACCGTAAATGCCCCAAATCAGGGATCTGGTACTCCACAACAAGTGGTACATTGTCAGACATCGACAGCTGCACTTGATTTGTCAAAGGAGTTGCTTTTGTGAACGAATTCAAATACTGACATGCAAAGGTGAGTGTCACGGGTTCCTGCATCTCTATGGTTACATTCTCTTCCTCCTTGTCAAAATTGCTGGTCTGTGCAATTTTGACATTGGCGCTACCGATATCACCAGAAGTAGAGAACTTAACACCTTCCTTGGTACAAGAAATTACTATTGATTCTCCAAACTGGGACAAATCTCTTACAATTCTAGCAAATTCACCTGAAGGCATTTTGATTACACAAGAGAAATCAGTTTCTGGTATTCCCAAGTGTTCTTGGTCAAGGTTCATGAGTTTCATTTCATAATCAGATATTTTTTCTTGTTTCTTTGCTTCAAACATGAATGTTACGGTATCTGCATCATCCTGGGCTTTGATGGTTACTGTGTCATCATTGCTGGAGCACTTGAATATCTTCGACATGCTAAAACATCAATAAATGAATCAATCAAAGTATACTTTATTTCTCATTATCATCTAGGAGGTTTCTTACTTCAAGAAGTAACACCTCACCCAGTAGTGTCAAGAGATCTGATAATAGATGTTGAAAGATTTTTTTTCAGTTTCATTTCTGTGTTATTGAACAAAAGATGAAACTGGTGGGACAGTAGCCAGTTGACTGAGTGGTTCACTCTACTCAATCAATTGACATCTATGTACTAGATGGGCTCAAAAACAGATCCCTGTGGGACGCATACACCCAATTTTGGATAAGCTGGGTTCGGTGACTCAAAGAGAATTCAAACCAGTTAGGAATATGCTCGTTAATTCTATAATGCCAAAGCTTTTATGAAAGTATTCTATGACTTTCAGTAGAAATCCTTTGCAGCACCAACTTCTTCTAAAACCAAATGAACGTAGATCTTTCAGAAAACAAAATCTATCATTAGATGGACTCTTAACACCATATTAAATTCAATAATAAATTTTGCCATAATTCAACATAATTTTTGGTGGTGGGATAATCACTCATAATAATGGTTCAATATAAGCTTCAAGTTAGTGTAATGCTTTGATAGTAACCTGATTGAAAAAAATTGTAGCTCCCTACCTTGCCAAATTCATTCCCATAGTGAGGTTCCTATCACACCTATATTTGTCGAAACCATCGGATCTCAGTGTAAGGGATACCAGCGATACGTGGGAATTATCCATGGCTTGTAATTGTATTCCAGATTCAGAACAATCAAAAGATGCTTCATTTAAAAGATCTTTAATTGCATCCAAGACTTTTTTGAATGTAACACTACTAACGAGACGTGCTTCGAACATTTTGTAGAAGAGTTGCTTTTTACTTTAAAAATTCAAGAGAAAATTTTCTGTAACAAAGACTGCCCTCACTTCACTAAGTGGTCAGTACAGTAGCGATGGCGGTAAAAATATGAGAAACGGGGGAGTTTTACGCGCCAAACTACTGTCAAAAGACACAAATGTCATTACTTATGTATGGTGGTCATGTGCTGTGTTCATGTTGAACTAAAGATGCGTTTTTTTGATGGATTGATGCGCCTCAATGGAAGCAAAAGCCATTATCATAGAGAGAGAGAGAGAGAGAGAGAGAGAGAGAACCGTTTTTTGACACTGATCCCACAGAAACACTGCAAATGAAGTTTCTTCATTTGCAACTTCAAAATTAAATTTTTAACGGTTTAAATTCATCGAAATCATTAAATCATTCATTCTCTTTGTACGTATCGGCCAATACAATTGCAGTTCAAAAAAATCTCACCTACTCGGAAATAAATTTTCATTTTCTGGTTCTATCGGGATTAAAAGCAAAAACTGAATTGAAAGAGCGTAAAAACGATATGAATGATCATTCGAGATTCGAAATCGTGCCAAAAACTGAATTTGTGACCTCGAATGCAACTTGCATTGTCACATAAGCAGCCGTTCTCGATTGTCGGGTAGTTTCATCATCGGTTGACGTAAAATAATAATTGGTGATGTTTGAATAGTTCTAGTTGACAACTTTCACTTCATTTGGGTAATGAAAACAACTAATTACCTAGGTTGCAACAGGTTATTTGTTTTATTGAATACAGATAAAACAAACTGGAGTACTTACTCTCTTTATTCAGTTTGAATATTATGAGATCAATTAATTTATTAATGTATAGTTTCCACATTGAAAATAATTTAGCAATTGACTTATCAATGACACAATCGTCCCGTTTCAGAAACAACCAACAATAATATATTTTTCGGGCAACCGCTGGCAAAAAATCTGGTTAGTAATGGTTATTTTTGGAACATATCTTAAATTTATAGAGTGATGTCTCATGCAATGCAATCCTGCATTCATCCAATATATGGAGGATATCCAATATTCAAGAGTAGGCACTTTGAAGATTGAGCGTTTTTGTTTAAACTTTTCATGACAAATCTTGTAAAAACCACCTCATATAAAAAAAAATGTTATGTGAAAGGAGAGATGCATATTTAGGAGAGAAAGTCAATGGGATTCCAAAAATCAATAAATTGAATTTGGGCAAGAAAAAACACATAAGGGACTTTATGCTATTGAACAAAATTCAAATAATTGATTACTGGGAATAGAAATCAAACATATTGAATATCTTCTTCAAGAAAAAACCTATTACCAATGCTTTCGTCCATTTCAATGTTGTTGTGTTAGTCAACACAAAGAGAGCAACAACGGAATTATGCGTGTAGTATTTAATGTTGAAAAACTTCAGGTTACATACACAATTATAACAACTGCTTCAGATGTTCATAACATGACAGATGGGCACACTAGAAAGTCACTAAACCCAGTACTGACAACATAAGAGGTAAATCACACATGCTCAAATAATACAATTAGAATTTATATTTATAACATTCAACTGGTGCCTTTCATTTGTGAATTTATTTTGCAAACCTAAGAAAATTTTCGAAATATCAAACTGCCAATGTTCAGAGGCAGGTTATAAGCAGTGGCGGATCCAGCCATGGGGGGCGCGCCTCTCCCTTTGAACGCAGAAAACGTTCAATTATGGGGTATAAACCAGTCCTACGCTCTTGCTCACCACCAAAAATAAACAGAATATATATTGGTTTCAATTGAAACCTCTGTCATGTTTAAAAAAACATCTTATTCATTTTTTTATTTATTAGCAAGTGGCCCCCGTCAACAAATTCCTAGATCCGCTCCTGGTTATAAGAATGATTTGTTAACTCAGTTGTAGATTACTGGTATATAATTTGTACAGACTGAATTATATTGTGATAAGTAATGTGATCATTTTCTAATTCTCCGAGGCTTGATCTGCCTGATTCGTAAAATTAAAGTTAGTTGAATGAGTTGGTTTTTTCAAAAAGCTGTGTGTAGTGACCATTGCACTTGATGTCGCCAAGTTAAATGTATGATTCAGAAATTCAAATAACTTTTTGCACCATTATGTTTTTTACTAGCAATCCATTAATTATTGAACTTTACAGACAAAAACACAATCTTCAATCCCATGGCTGACACAATGTATTATTACTGTTGAGTTTTATTGAATTACAGTTGAAGAACTATTATCTGATCTGTAGGTTAAAAACTAAAACCCTAGCACATATCTCAGCCTCTGACTGTTTTTTCTATCACGATTATACCTGTGTTATTCACGAACATGGTTATTTTTTAATCTTTCTCAAGTGTACGTGTACCACACAATATGGTTAATGATGAATGGTCACAGTCTGTAGATGAGATAAAGATACAAATTACCTTCAAAGGAATATGTGAAAATCAAACCAATCTACTGTAACAGACTTGGGTATATAAAAAAACGATTATGGATTAAAATACTTCTATTCAAATAATATCACAGATGAAGATCCTAGTGCTGTTCTAGACGTAGTTACCCTGAAACAGTAGAAATATAAAATTATTTCAAATAACCCCAATTTGATTCAATCATGCAAGAAGTCTATATCAATATATACTATTCCTAACTTGAATAATCAAAACGACTGTTCAAATTAGTTCAGAAATCCAGAGCTGCCAGGCCTACGTCATTTTAGCAAACTTACTATGAGGCTGGATTTTTATCGGCCTAGCTAAGAGAACACAAATTTTACCAGCAAAACCAGTTCAATTTCTCATTCTATTCACCTTCAAGCTTCATACACTTCATCTAACGATTCTACAATTTTTTATGCCCTTCGAATAATATATCTGGAAGAAAATACTGTGGATTGGAAACTATTTCTTACTTTTGGTCACTCCAACGATACATTGTCTTGGTGAGAAACAACTTTTTTCCCAAACAAACGTGATCTCTTCACTTCAGATCAGCATTGAATCAGACCAGCTGCAAAATAGCCTCTGGTTATGGTTTTGTTCTTTTCCTTTTAGTTAGTGTTAATTATGACTTCAGCTTCCCAAAACATTGCGGCCATTATCTTTTAGATTGAAAACCACATCTGGGATTTCTTAGGATTCGATTCGTTAGTGGCTGGCCATTTTTTTGACTGATCCTTGTACTCCATGTTTAGTCTATGGTTACAAAAGCGTATAAAGTACTTTTTGTTGCAGTAGAATATTTGCAATTATCTGGCGATCTTGTTTTTTTCGTACAGATAGCAGTCTCTGCACCCACTCTACAGAAAGATTTCTCATTACAAATATGAAAGAAGTATTCGTTCGGTTGAAATGCCCACTGCCTCATCTATCTCACGCTTAGTTACTCGTCAATAACTAATATCTACCATTCCATGGATTTTATCGGTCGTTTCTAACGAGGTTACCTCATTTGGACGCCTAGGACTATATTTGAATTCATCTGTCCAGTGTTTTATTATTGTTGATATTGAAATGGCATATTTCTGATAAATATTCTTTAATTTGTCGTTTATCTTATCGTTCGTTTTCAAAAACAAGAATCTAATAACAGCAAAAAATCCGATTTTATTCAATTTTGTGATAATGCAAGAGTTGTTAACTTTCAATGACTCCAAACGCAAGCAAATAAATCTAAAGTATACAAGTATATGACAACATATGGTTACTGGTGGCGCCATCTCTTGTCTAAAGTGATCATTATCAGCCCCTCATAGTATTTTTCTGCATACCTTCCAACTTGAAAGTGGAATCCTTCTACAGATATCAAGGAATAAATTGTTGATACTGGTATTATAAAATGGGCTTGTCATTAGAATGTGGTCATTTTGGTGTGAAGAGATGAGAACAGATTATACCTAGGTATCTCTTCACGACTTTTACATCAAATACTAAACTGTCATAGGTCAGTGTCAGTCCTGGAATCTTGGGCTACAAAGTAATTGGTATATGGGATACATTAAAATGAGACAAGATAGTAATTGCCTGAAAACTTCTGATAACAACTAAACATGAAACAGGTTTTGCAAATGTAGAAAGGCTGTGTTGCTAATATTCGAAATGTTTTACCCTTTCTATGAATTACCTCAACATATTTTGGAAATATCTTTCACACCTGCAAATCCGTTAAAAAAATTGATATTATCCAAGTTATACTTTATTGTGAGATTTTCATCAAACAGTTTTACTAAAACGAAACAAGTGTTTCGCTATATAATAGCTTCCTCAGGCGTGTTCATACTCACTAAATCCTAAGTAATTAGTGCTTTGCATAATAACAATTTGAATCATGTGACCTTCTACTTAGATAATGATTAATAATTTTACCAGAGTTTAGGTAAATCTAATACTTTTACCAACTCATTAAATGGACATGTAACAAACTAAAGGAGATTTCGATTCTATTTGATTATTCAGTAAATTTTCAGAATTCTTAAATCCATTAATTTGTAAGCACCCCAAAAGATTTGAGTTTCAAACCATTCTTTCCCAAATCAATAATTCGTAGTCATGGTGCCTCTCTGTCAAAAAATGGTTTGCAAATGTTGAATTCGTCTTCAAATTCAAGAAACTACTTTTATCATCTTATGACCTTTTATTCTTTGGAAAAAGCTTATCCCCGTTTGGCCAATATACTTTTTTGGGCAAGAACCACAAGTTAACCTTTTTAATCCTGATCTATCCAACACTGAAGTTTTTGATAATCTTGCTCAAATCATTATTTATCCGGTAATTTACTTCAAGTCTGCCCTTTTGAAAAAACAAAGTGCTATTGGTGTTGTTGTATGACAATAGCTTAAGCAAGTTATTGTATAGCAAAACACGTGTTGCGGTTTTGTAAACGATCCAGTGGAAATTTCACAATAAAGTTAATAAGTTATGGATTTTTGTCAAGTATCGGTCAATTCCATCAAAAACAATTAAATGTTACAGTAATCTTGTTGTTTTACTTGAATGCTTTGTTTTATTAGTTTATTTTAAAAATTGTATTACTTGTCCAGTTCCATATTTAGTTTTTAATGCCAAATTAAATATTTGACAGTGAAAGTACAAAAGTTAAAATTGTGCAACCTGCATTACTTGTCAAAAATAAACGTTATTTTCTTTAGGTTAGATGTTATTATACTTTACCTTTTTTACTTAGTTCACTGCATTTCTTAAAAATAAAGTAATCATGAAATTAAAGTATCGACTATTACACACACTTTATTTGATGCTTCTACATGTTACATATTTTTAAATTGTCAAGTAATTCAAATTAAAAACACATTTAAGATATATTTAGAGCTATTCTATTAGGGATGGTTTGTTTTAAAATACAGATTACATTAAATCCTTATTTATTGTATAGAATAACTCATTTTACATTAATTAACAATCTAATTTTCAACATTGAATTGTTTATAAACACTCTCTACGTCATTTTATTCAAAAACGTCAAGTTTTTCAAGACTTCTTGGTAGTCTTCAAACTCTCATTGCAGAGATTAGATTTTAATAAATTACATTTTAACAAGAAATTACTTGTTTTATTGCCACCTGATCTGTATGTGTTATTTTATTAATCCACTAAATATTCAAATTATATGTTCCAATTCTTTTTACATATTCAAAAACTGTGTTTTTGGAGGTATCGAGTTTCATTTCGTTTAAAATGATTTGAATTTTTTGTGTGAATTGTTAATGATTTAAGAAGTACGTTTCTCTGCGTCATTGACGGGAGTCATAGTTTCTAAATTTTATGACTTTAAAAAGTGTTTTTATACAATTTTGATAATAATAGAAAAAAAATTGAAGTAAATCATTTCAGATTTCTTTTACTGTAGAGACTTTCTACGCAAAAAACCAATGAAAGAAGGAAAAATACAACTTGATTGAATACAATATAAATTTTCCCCAATTTACTTTGAGGGTCGTGTATAGGGAGAAGATCTATAACGGGAGCTCTCCATATGTCGACCTAATGGAGGTGCTGCGGATTTATAAGGGGCCTTCCAAGTCCTAGATGGTGTTGGTGGTTCTGTGCATACGAGTTAAAAACATAACATTAACAGCCTATTTATGGATTTTTATTAGTGGATAATGATGATCCTAAATAACATAGGATTATGGGTTTCAATATTTTTTTAGGGTTGGTTATATTCAAGTGAATACTTTTATTGGACTTACAACTCAGATGCATTGAAATTATAAAGGACAGAGATATTTAGCAGTATTATGCTATGTTATATAGGATCAATTTTTTGTTAATATTTCGAAATAAAATCTCAAAATATACATATCTCCTAAGTACCTACACTGTAGGTGTAAGCGAAATTATTCGAGGGGATCACCTACAGACCGGTTTCGAGGTATTAATGTCATCAGTGCAGGAAAGATCCTAGCCAAACAGCAAAGCGCTGGGACTCGACTAATTTCAAAGTGTCATGATTCAGTGCAAGTAGTCAGAATTTATTGATATTAATTCTCTTTTACTTTTGATTGAAACTTTATATTGCCTCTATGTATGGTCTTCCTACCAGAGACCCCACTCATGATTGTAGTATCTGCTTAAAGGACCACCTGTACACTTTGTCCTTGTACATCTCGCCTTTTATAACGTTTGTCGCAATTGAAGTCAAAACGCCGGTATGAAAACCTACATACAGACCACGACTAACAAACCCAGAAAACAGCTTCAAAATTGCAACCATTCATTTTGCATAATTGATCAAATGTAAAAGTGATTATTACAAAATAATTTTACCAAATACACTAAATATCATAGCTTCAAACCTTAAAATTCATTTTCTACATTTAGAAACATGAGAAAGTTTACAGTCTGTTCATTTGAAAAAAAATAACACTTAATATAATTTCATTTACTCAGAGGGATTTTAGACATCTTAATGCGCACACTGCCGCCCTGCAATAAAACCCATAGAAACTCAAGGAAGGTAAAGATGGGTAAGTGCATCAATTCTACTTGAATAGCCTTTTTAATAATGCTAACCGTTTTCAACGTTAATGAAAAAACACCTGTAGAATTGACAATTGAGGACTGAGGTATCCAGAACAAAAAAACCTAGCATAAAGGCTGGTTTTTGAGGACTTTCCAAGTTGAACTTTCTAATCCATACCGTGCACTTGCCCTATCTTACCTTAATAAACTTTGTGGGGGAATTGCAAGGTTTTGGACGATAAAACACACATTCTATGTCTTTGCCAATATTTTGTGAATACATTTACGACTTCTCCAGAGCTTAGACTTTAATCACGGTAATAACATGAAGTCTGATGAATATGTTGCATTATGACAATGTTTTGCACACAGTTTTAATAGACAAAAAACAAAACAAAAGATCCGGTACTGAACGGACATCAGTAGAAATTTGGAATATTTCTAGACCCACTCTCAATCTCTACCATATTGACTAATTCTACAGAGAACCTTCAACTCAACGCAACTTCCAAAGTCTGATTCATTCATCTGATTTCATTTTGTGGATAAATTTCATTTATGTTATTTCATATTCAATCATAACATTCAACATACAAACAGCAAAACACTTGAACCTTCATTCTGAAGCTGTATTTTCAGACATGTTCCTTTGGTTCAACAGATGGCGCCTGAGACTGATACCAAAAAAATCCGTTTATAATTTCTTAACACAAACCATCTCCAAACAGTCACCATCAGCAATTAAACACTAATGAGCAATCCATCAGCAAAATGCTTGGACATAAACTTGGATCACAATCGTGATTTGAATCACCAAAACAAAACCATCAAGAAGAAATGCATAACACGAGGAAAACGTTTCCACAGTTCAATATACAAAAACAGCGGAATAAATATCAAAACAGTTACAGTATCTATTTGGGTTACCTAAAACCATCATTGAACATCCTTCAAGTTGCGGAAACATCCACAGTAAGGGGTATTACAAAAATGAGAAACCATCAAAACCCTTTACATAATATTGCAAATGAACATCTATTTTGGGTCACACATAAAAAAACCTTTCCAACAAAGATTACAACAATTATAGACTCCAGATTCGCCATAAATTCAAACAGTTTGAACTTTAAACGTCCATTGTGTCTATAGAGGGCTGACAAACTCAAGATTCAGACACCCCCAAAAAACAGTTTGGCCACCAAATAGATAAATTTTAGTATTTGATCATACCCCCCACTCCACCACACTAACCAACCCTCCACCTATCGCACCCACATACTTGCATCCACCCATCGCACTCACTCACACAAACCCACCCACCTAATGCATCCACACACACACACACACACACACACAGGTGAAAACTCCATTATTTTAACCTAAAGTGGAATATCAAATTATAATCACTTGAAAATTGTACTCTGGCTGAAGGACCGGTCAACGGCTGTTTCGTATTTGCCAATAAATAACTTTTATTATCATTACTATTATCGTTATTTCATTCTATTGCCATTTATTATATAATAATAATAGCCTTTATTATCCAACAGTTTAAAATTTAAGGGTTAACTAAGTATGTTGAAGAAAGTAATATAAGTGCTTATAACTACAAAGTTACANCTTGCGTTCCTTGAACGTACGGATATTGGCTGATTGTTTACTGAACCGGTCGTCTCAAATTTGGCCACCAAACGTTGAAGAGTCGACTGTGAAGGGCCACCACGTCTACCGTAAAATGGGCGCAATGCGCGCAACGTTTGCGTTGACGAACACTCATTTTGATAATAAAGTTTTATTATTTGAACGTGCTGTTCAATCGTGTAACTTGCCATGGCGCCCCGTGCCAAAATGGCTGGCACGGGGCGCCAAAATCTACCCGCGCCAATTGAAAAACCCTTTAGTTCCAATATAAGGCTCCCAAAAATGTATAAGAGATAACACCTCCAGAGCATCCACATTGCTGTGCAGTAATTTATATAGAAAAACTATACCAGCAAGTTTTATGCGTAACTCAAGATTTACAATATTGAATGGAATGGTGAGAAATTCATGTGACTGAAGCATTGTCATAATGCACCATATTCATCAGACTTGGTACTATGATTTACGCCTAAAGTTCTGAAGAATTGCTAAATCCAATTGTGAGACAGCAAAGATGTAGCTTTTGTTTCATTGTCCAAAATACCCTGCGATTCTCCTACAAAGTTATCTACCGGACATAATTTCAATAAGTCACATACATGATTTCAACAAAAAAATCCTTACCGTAATTCGAACTGTTCCCCCTGTAGTAGTCGGGCTCGTAATCGTCGTACTGGTTGGAAGAGTATGGCCTCGAGTTGTGAGAGTAGTCGTAAGGTGCTGCTGCTGGCGCCTCATACTGCTCCTCCTCGTAGCCGTAGCTCTCTTCCATGGCTACGCGAGCGCGATCAAGAATAGACATTATTTTAGTTTTGGCTGGCATGACCCTCGGCGTGACGACGGGGGCCCTCGTGGCCGTCCGCATCACAGGTGGGGGTCGAGGGATGGCAGCTGAAAGGTCGTTTGACGTTTTGCGTACGGTTATAATTAATGGGCATTTCAAAAAAAAAAAAACAGAACGAAAGGTCTGTGGACAAGCAGTACTGAATAGATAACAGTAGAGTTTCGAAATATTTTCAGATCCACTCTCAAGCTGAGAAATTTTACATAACCTTTAAATTTCACAGTCAATGCAAATTGATAGCAGTTCCAATAATAGGCCTTCTTGACATATTCAATACACACACACTCTTACTTTATCTCTAATGTATTATAAAGAATAAAAAAAAAGAAACTAAAATATAATTTCTGTAGAGTTAGAACTCTTGAAACTTCTACTTCAAGTGTTCTGAAAATTCAAAAAGATCTTCTTATAAATAGTGCCTCTTGAAAGAAAAATCAGTGACCCAAAAAGTAGGCTTTCTGTTACTCCAAAAAATTATCTATCTACTCAATAACTAGATTTATGGCCTTCAACTTTCTGATTGATTCGACCGTTACTTTACTTTCTGGAGTATTCAAATCACTGTTGAAGAAGCTACTGTGTTAGCGAAACATGTCGTGATATATTTTTCAAATAAAGTTTGTGGAGATCAAATCGTGAGGTGTAGTTTATGAAATTATGGCCTTCAAATAGCCTTGTACTTGAAAAAAAGTCTTTTCAAGTGATACCTCTATAGAACCTTCAAGAGATACGTTATAATTTCTTTCTTGTTATTATCAAACTTTCCTATTTTAATAACGTCACAGAGGACATTTTATTTTTTCAATACTCATTACGATGTAAAAAACTGAAGACTTGAGTGGTGCATTTTGTGTAGAAAACTATCTTTCACAAGGAAGCCCCACTCTTCAATACATTTTCGAGATATCTGATATTTGAGTGCTCTGAATACTTTTAGCCTACGATTTCTTCACAACTTTTCAATTACTATCTGCGGCAACAGTATGGTTTTTTTTTTGGTGGTGGTGTTTGATTACATACTAAAATAGAATGTTGAACGGATAAAAACTGATTAGACCTTTTCCAAAGCATTTTAGAGATGCCTGGAATCTACAGCTCATGCAGAAGTGGCTGGAAACCTAAAGAGATGCAAACACACACAAAGGCAACCCTACGATTCAATAAAAAACTAATTCTTAACATAGAAAGGTGCAGTTTCTGTTTAGTGGAATATTATTTTACAATACAATTTGGCAGAATAATTTTATGGAAGGGATGAATTTTTTACTGAAAAATGTTTATATAAGCAATGTGAATACTATCTTAGCAAAGCATATAATAGAATGATTATTCATCACATCACAAACTATGATTCATATTATTGATTTATTGTTAGTTATTTATTGATTGATATGTGTGATTATGAGGATTTTAACATTGTTACTGTTTTGAATGACCTTGATAGGTACAAACTCAGTGAAATTAGTAGAAAATGTTGCCTATTTTATCGTTTATATGGGCAACTTTTCCCTAATTTAAATGGCTTTGTATCTTTTAAACCTTTTGATTTTCCAATGCCGGCCCCCCTCATTTTGGACACATTGTATAAATACTTCAACAATCAATTTTGAGGGGCCTAACATGTAAGTGATTAATGAAATTGTTATTTTACTTTCTTTCGCAAAATTATTCGGTCGTTGTGGTTGTGATGAAAACACCAAAGTGAAATTCTATTGAAACCAAACTGAAATTCTACCAATCCAAAAAGTCCAGCTTGTCTACGGACTGAAACCATAACATCAAATGAAAGCTTTAAAAAGTGCATTCAAATTCAAACATGCCTTATTGTTGCAAAGCATCTACTGCTTGTATATACCAGTAAACATGTTTGAAATTTTTCTATCTGAAAGGACCAATAAAAATTACAACCGTGCTACCTCGTAACTACTAAACTACAAAATGTAAAAAAAGAGGGTAACAGACGATATACAATAATAAAATTTCCTGATGTCTAACCAATCTCAATGAATTTGAAAATCAAATTGATCAGAATCAACTGATCCATTGATTCTGTTTCAAGTCCAAGTTGTCAAAAAAACATGTTCTACTCGGTTTTGAAATAATATTTTCAATATGTACTTCCATGTTTACTTCTGATCTACTTTTGATCCCAGGCATTTGCTAACAAAGACTTTTTTCTTGTGCTATGGACGTATCAGTATAATGCAATCAAAACTGTCTTTAAGACACTTCAATTTTTATGTTAACTGAATCTGATTTATTAGTGTATCAATAAGTTGTATTGGATATTTCAAATAAGATGCTACACCTCCAACTTTGATATTTGAATAGCTGAAAGTCAAAGTTTTTTTCAATATTTTACAGCTCTGGCAATATTTTTCATGAGAAATCCTCAAAGTAATAGAGAATATTGAAGTCATAATGCTACTACTGTATATCGTCTATTTTCATCTAATAGGAATGAACTCATGGTTCAACTCACATCTCATCATGCCCTGAGGTGGTCTACGTGGTCTCTCTCCAACATGGCCGCCACCATGTCCTCCGTGACCTCCATGGGGTCCACCATGGCCTCCATGACCATCTCCAGTCATAATTTCCATTTCCCGCATTTGCTCTTGTCTAATAATATCGTTGTTGTCAGGAATGAGGTACTTCCTTACTTCAGCTAAAGCATAAGCAACACGCGCATGAGCCTCAGCTGGTGGTCCCAGAGCAGAAATTTCAACGTGAAGATCGTCAGTCAAATGGCTATGGAAAAAAAATTGTAAACGGAGTCATGACAGAGGTACATCTCGCCTT